AATCCGTTTTCTTTTTATAAGGGCTAAAAGCGAATCACTTATTTTTTTGGCTTTTTGACCCCATATTGTAGGGTGGATCTCGAAAGATAGGAAAGATATCCCTCCAAGCCGTACATACAACTTTCATCGAATACGGCTTTCCACAGAATTCTATAGGGATCTATGAGATCGAGTATGGAATTCAGTTTACTCACTTAAAATTGAGTATCCGTTTCCCTCCTTTTCCCGCTAGGATCGGAAATCCTGTATTTTCCATATCCATACCATCAAGTCCTTAGGTTTCCGAAATAGTGTAATGGAAAAAGAAGTGCTTCGAATCATTGCTATTTGACTCGGACCTGTTCTGAAAAAGTCGAGGTATTTCAAATTGTTTGTTGACACGGACAAAGTAAGGGAAAACCCCTGAAAGAATTTCCATATTGACCTTGGACATATAAGAGTTCCGAATCGAATCTCTTTAGAAAGAAGATCTTTTGTCTCATGGTAGCCTGCTCCAGTCCCCTTACGAAACTTTCGTTATTGGGTTAGCCATACACTTCACATGTTTCTAGCGATTCACATGGCATCATCAAATGATACAAGTCTTGGATAAGAATCTACAACGCACTAGAACGCCCTTGTTGACGATTCTTTACTGCGACAGCATCTAGGGCTCCTCGAATAATGCGATATCTCACACCAGGTAAATCCTTAACCCTTCCTCCTTTTACTAATACTACAGAATGTTCTTGTAAATTATGGCCAATACCAGGTATATAAGCAGTGATTTCAAATCCAGAGGTTAATCGTACTCTAGCAACTTTACGTAAGGCGGAGTTGGGTTTTTTGGGGTTGATAGTGGAAAAGTCGACACATAAGTCACCCTTCCTGTCCCTCTACAGAACCGTACATGAGATTTTCACCTCATACGGCTCCTCGTTCAATTCTTTCGAAGGGATCCTTTTCCTCGTTCGAGAGTCTCCGCCCTTCTTCCACTCCGTCCCGAAGACTAACTAAGACCAATTGAGTCACGTTTTCATGTTCTAATTGAACACTTTTCATTTATGATTAAAGGAGAAGATTGTTCTTTTACCAAACATATGCGGATCAAATCACGTCTTATAATAAGAAGAAATCTTTCTCGGTATCAATCCCCTTGCCCCTCATTCTTTGAGAATCAGAAGGATCCTTTTCGAGTTTCCATTTCTTCATTTGGAATCTGGGCTCTTCTATCTTCGACTTTTTTTTTTGCTTTATTCTTTATTTATTTCATTTCGATTTTTCCCTCTTCCTCTATCCCTATCCTCTAGGTACAGCGTTTGCATCAATAGAGAACCTTTTCCTCTGTATGAATCTATATTATTCCATTCCAATTTCTTCCCGAAACTTCCCAAGAAAAATCCCGAATTGGATCCAAAATTGACGGGTTAATGTGAGCTTATCCATGCGGTTAGGCACTCTTCAAATAGGAATCCATTTTCTAACTGGCTTTCGTGCTTTGGTGAGTCGTCTGAGATCCTTTCGATGACCTATTTTGTGTTGAAGGGATATCTATATGATCCGATCGATTGCATAAGACCCGCGGTAGCAATAGAACGGGGAAAGTATACAGAAAAGACAGTTCTTTTCAATTTCGATTATCTATATATTAGTTCGTTTCTATTTCTAGATATCTATTTCTATATATTAGTATTAGTTAGTAGTACTATTCTATTAGTTAGCGATCCCGGCTCTGTGAGTTCTTTCTTCCGTGATGAACTGTCGGCACCAGTCCTCCATTTTTTCTCTGTGGACCAAGGAGAAAGGGGGCTCAGCAGGAAGAGGATTGTACCATGAGAGAAGCACAGAGGTCAACCCTCTTCAAATATGGAACATGGATTCTGGCAATGCAACGTAGTTGGGTCCTCATATCGATCCGAATGAATCAGTCTTTCTACAGAGGTCAATCTTTGCCTATTAGGCAAGAGGATAGCAAGTTCGAAATTCTGTCTCGGTAGGACATGGATTTCTATTACTATAAAATTCATAAATGAAAATGAAGTAGTTAATGGGAGGGCTACCATTATCCTTTTTCTTGTATGTGTTCCTAAGAGAAGGAATTTGACCATTTCATGTTTCGAGGTCTCAAAAAAGGGCGTGGAAACAGATTGAAACTCTTAAATGGAAATTGAAAAGAAATGTAGCCCCAGTTCCTTCGGAAATATAGGGCGCAACTGATCTGGACGGCAATACCAAGGAGACTTAACTGATTTTCTCGAGCGACGCATGCGATGCTTTGCTTATCCCGTGTGCATCGGTCTTTGCATGCATGCATGCAGCTCTTTGCATTCTTCCCTGCGAACGACCTGCTATTTTGGCATGTGAAAGGATAAGCAGCTCTTTGCATTCTTCCCTGCGAACGACCTGCTATTTTGGCATGTGAAAGGATAAGCAACGCAAAAAAACCGAAGAAAGCATTGAAAGCCTTTGCATGCATGCGCGCGGAAGTCGACCAGATTTCATACTTTTGTTTTAATGCTATTTGCTTGCATGTGCATGAGCGCCCTATATTTTGGTACACTTAAAAAAAACCAGTTACGTCCTATATTAAGGAATGGAGGGAGCACTGTTTTGCTTCAGTTTCTTCAGCTCCTGGATCAGGGAACGCATTACATTGACAGATCGGAGTAATTTGCAGATCTTAATTAGCTTAGGTTTCGCGCGAAAAATATTATTGTTTCCATACTCCAAGACTTGGAGTCCAAGTGGGTGTTTTAATTTGTTTGTGTTCTCTCCTTCTAGAAACTTAATTGGTCTCAAACACATGCATGTATCGACTTTTTCCAATATACTTGCTAGTAGTTCTTTGCAAGAGGTCTTTCTTATTAACAAGTCAAAAAGGCACAAGCCCACGAAAAGGTACTTTGCATGATATTTATTATTATATCGTTTTTCTTATATGATTGTAGGAAGTTATATAGAGGTTGGAAGTGGTTTTAGAGTAATTGTATCGTCTAGATGTGTAATTTCTCAATAAAACTTTTTTATCTGACAAAATACCTAGGCAAAAATATTTGGTAAAAAGGAGCACAACCTGACTAACTTTTAGGTAGCATCTGTGTAAATTCCTGCAAGGTGAAAAACTACTTTAGCACAGCCATGCTCAAAATGAGGAAATTTCAAATTTCACTTTGTCTTTTTCAACAATTTCCTCCCTCACCCGTCACCCATAGAAATTAGCTTTTGTCAACATCTATGGTCTACCAAATGTCTAAAATGATACCAACATTTTAACCTACTTTGTGATCTCGGAAGCGCACTAATTATTCAGTGAAGTGAAATATGGATAGATTGCTACTTCCATTTGATCGAAATTGTACATAATGTTATATTATGATTTCTCTTATTATGGCCACTAAGCTTTCGTTACATTTACACAGCAAACATGCAGGGATACACACCATGACAAAAATGTTATTATTGCGAACAAATGAATCCTCAACCAGGATCTCAAATTTGTTTGTGCAAAATATCAGATTCAATGTTATTTTCAGCACATTTATTTATGTTAGGAAGCAAAATTGGCAGACATTAACCTAACATCAACCTCCCACAGACAGAGGAAACAACTAATCACTTTCGCAATCAGAGATGTGATAGAATGACCAATCTTACAAGGGCCCTGTTTGAAAGATTAGCCCAGGGCTAATTTTGAGAGCTAATGTATAGTCATGAATTAGTAGGCTAAATATTAGCTAAATATTAGCCTAGGGTGGCATGTTTGGATCCAAGGGCTAATTCAAGGCTAAAAGGTGGAGAGAGAGAGAGTAGAAAGAGAGGAGAGAGAAGGACAGAGAGAGCTGCTTTTTAATGGTCCCTACACAAAATTAGCCCCATTAGCATCCTTTGGAGGGGCTAATGTTTTGAGGGGGGCTAATTCACTTTAGCTAAAAATTAGCACACCTATTTAGATCCTTAAGGGCTAATTCAGAGCTAAAAGGTGGGGGCTAATGTTTAGCCCATGGAACCAAACAGGACCAAAGTTGCCACTCATCGTCACCTCTCCTCTCAGAATCCCAAATAAAACCACTATCCTTTTGCCTTCTCATCTTCCTTTAATTTATCGCAAGTGTTCTCCTTATCTAATTTGGCTAATCATCCATTTTTTATAACATCATTTTAACACTATCCTATTATTCGTCCATATGAGTAAATAGAAACACATTTGAATTCCATAAATTTTAACAATTTGACCCTTTGTAAAAACTAATTTTACAAATAAATCATGGCTAAAACTTATTTCAAAAATAACCTTTTTTTTCAGCGCCAAATCGTATGGCGCTGAATTCAAACACCTCAGCGTCAAATAGTACGGCGCTGAGTGCACGTTGGCACGCCGACTCAGCCTCCCATCCGTGGTGGCACGGTATTCAATGATAGTTGACGTGACGCTGAGGTGTCTAATTTCAGCGCCATACGATTTGGCGTTGAACAAAAGGGTCAATTTCTTAAATAACTTTTGGTTACGGTTTATTTGTAAAATTAGTTCTTGTAAAGGGTTAAATTGTTAAAATTTGTGTTTGAAGTCAGCATGCATGTGCAAAAGAAATAGTACTACTATCCTAAATATGAAAGAAACACATGTGCACATAACACAAAGCTATACTTAATTAATTAATAGCAGCAGCAATGCCACTGTGGCCATTAATATATTGTTAATTTAATGCTAATTAATCTATTATTGATTTAGATGTATCGACCAGTTCAACTAAAAAATTAAACTGTTGAAAAAAAACGGGCAATTTACTTTATATTCCAATACTCCCCCTCACACAAGGTCTTCTCAAGTCTCTAACGTGAAATAGAAATGAGCTGCAATTTTTGTTTAGTTACGCGTTAGTCAGGATTAGAGGATTCGAACTCAAAACTTCTAGCTCTGATATCATATTAAATTGCATGTGTCGATTAGTTTAATCTAAACACTTAAACCGAGGAGAAAAGGAGTACAATCCATTTTATTCCAACAGATATATACACGGGGACAAAATGGGCAGTCTCTGTCTCGAGCGCCGGAAGCAACCGGACGATCCCCTCTCCATTTCGCAGCAGCTCCACCTGTGCCTCCTTCCTCTCCTCTTCTGCGCGGCTTCAAAGTTTTCGGCTTTTGAGGGAGTTCTTGCTCAATATCCCGATTTTTCTTTCTTTTTTTTCTCTGCCTCTGCGAGAAATCGAGGTTTTGACTGTTGTTTTGGAGCGTTTCTTGGGAGTTCTTGAGCCCGGCTCGTCCTGTCCTTTCCATGGGAGATTAGAGGTTGCTGGGATCTCTGCGAGTGAAGTGAAAGATGAGCCTGAGTAAGTGGAGCTCCCTCGTCGTTTCCCTTGTCGATTCTTGGTTGGATAGACCTTCCTGTGAGTTGACCTGGGGTGAGGGTCGTGTTCTTGACCGTGGCCCGTGGGTGTTCTTGATTCCTGATGCTTGTCGTGGTTTCTGGGAGTAAGAAAAAGATGGCCTTTGTCTAGTTTGTGTAGGAAATTTGACCCTGCTTTGATTTATTTTTTTGGGTGGGGGGATTTTGGAAATAGATTTCTTCGGTCCTTTTATGTCGTTGGGGCAATTGATCAAATTAAGTGTTGGTATGATTCTTACTAAGCTCGGGTTACCCTTTGTTTTTGGTTTGTATTACTGCTATTTAAGTAAACAAAAGTTGAATTGTTTGCTCGAGGTTGTGTATTTAGTTTTGACGAGGCTGTGGTCCATGATTCCGTATGCAGGAGTTGGAATTAAATTAGGTTATCTTCCATAAGAAAATGGCATTCTCGAGTCTCTGCTGAAAAGTTAATTTGGGGTTTTTTGTTCTCAAGTTTTTGTAGTATCTTTGAGATGACAAGATTCAACTCATTACGATGAATATGGAATAAGCAACTAAATATTGGATATATACCTTAATGTGGGGTTTAGTACACACAACTAGAAATTATCTTATCTTATCTTCTTTCTCTGATTATAGGTTTTGATATCAACGTGCTTCACAAAGAAGCAAGGAGCAGGTGGCTAAAGCCTTCTGAAGTCTACTATATCTTGCAAAATCATGAGAGGTTCCCAATCACCCCTGAACCGCCAAAGAAGCCACCCAGTATAGCACACATCCTTTAATTTAAAAGGTTTACATCTTAACTTATACCTTTACGAGGATACATTAACAGTGTTGTTTGTTGTCCAGGTGGTTCTCTATTCCTTTATAATCGCCGTGTGAATCGGTATTTTCGGAGGGATGGCCATGCATGGCGGAGGAAGAAGGATGGAAGAACTGTTGGGGAGGCTCATGAACGATTGAAGGTTTCTTTTCTAAAGCTCAGTTTATTGTCACATTATTCTATTTCTTAAATCTTTCATCTTTACAGTACAATAAATTCCTGAGCATAGCTCTTCTAGTACAATTTACATGTTATTTGGGGAAATGTGTGTTCCATAACTTATTTCTAGTACAATTTAAATTTAATTTGGGAAAAATGTGTGTTACATGTGCATGTTGACTAGTCTAGACTCTTGACAATGAACTTTGGTTATTGGGTGTACAGACTTTTTTTTCATCAGAACTTCAGAATCAAATTGTTAACCAGCATATTTCAGCACTTCATCATATATATGACATGTTCTTTATCTTCACAGGTTGGAAATGTTGATGCTCTCAGTTGTTATTATGCTCATGGTGAGCAAAATCCATGTTTTCAGAGGCGATGTTTCTGGATGCTGGAACCGTAAGATTAATTTTTGCTCTTCAGCTAGCTTAAATCTTTTAAAAGCAGTGTGACTGTAAACTGTTATTTATGTGATTAATAATCTGCAATTGTGCTAAGATTAGTGCAAGATGTCATTTGTTTGTTGTCTAATGAACTGTTGGTAGCATGTCAGTGTGCAAAAGGTGGGCTAGTAGTTATTGTCATAACATAGTTGCGCTTTTTGCAGAGCATATGAACATATTGTGCTGGTACAATATCGAGAAGTAGGAGCAGCTGAGGTATGTGACAAATCTTTGTATGCAACTATCCATTGCATATTATCCTTCCTCTAACTTCTGTGACATTTTGGCAAATTGTATTCACTGCAAATAGATATTAATTGACTTAATCAGATATTCAGGATTGGCATCCAAATTCCAAAATATCCATCGGCTTTCTTTCTCCAAACAAAATAGACTAATTTCTAGAGGGATGCTCTTGTTGAACTTGTCATCATATGTCAAAGCATGAGGAGTCACAGAAAGGAGCATCATTTATATGCTCATTGTTCTGCAGATTTCAATAGCATGTGGTTCCATCGGTCCATTTCAGAATCCAGTAACATAAACAATCATAACAATGGTGACCTGTGTATGTTCAGTGCCCTCAAAATATTGCAGTAATAACACTAAATAAGTAAGAGTGAGAATTCGATTTAAGATTGCACAATACTGCTCCTTCGGTTTTTTCCATGATTGATTTTCACCATTCCAGAGAGAGAGTTTGTGTTTCATGATACAACCAATTTACATAAGATTCAATAGGAGCTTCTTTGGGTTCCCACCAGCTTTATAGAAATTCAATAGGAGCATAATATCCAACAGGTCAGTGCCTGAAACTTTCTTTCGTTGCCCAGGGTAGATATAATTCAGCATCACTGTTGAATGGGCCAACAGATTCTCTTTCAGTCTTGAGTTATCCAAATGCTACATATGGAAACCAATATCTTGGCTCCACTTCTGGCGTTAGTGATGGTAGTGAATCACTCCATTCTAATTTGAGCTCTGTAACGGAGGTAAGTTCCTATTCTGCAAACAAAGACAATGGTATTCTGCAAAGCATACAGGAGCTCAGCCAGTCAACTATAATGGGTGCACCGGCGCTTGGCCAGAGTAGTCTGGAGCAAAGTATTGAAGTTCGCTGGGTAGATAACAGTAATTCAACAAATAAATCTGGGCTCAACCGAGCTTTGAAGCAAATTGTTGAGCAGTTAAGCTTGGGGGATGATGAGGATGATGACTACATACACCAAGCACAGCCTTTTGACTTCATTACAAATATTGAAGCTCCAGATAGGCAGCGTGATGCAAGCAGAAATGTTTCAGGTACTCGTACATTTATTTTAAAGCTAAATATACATGAGATAAAAATTCTCTACATGTTTTATTCAAGTAATTTATAGTCTAGCATCAAAGTAAATGGAATTTGGCAAAATAACATCTTTGTGCTTCATTTGCTACATTTTTTCTAAGAGTTAACTTTGATATGCGTACTTTTAGCCTTTGAAATACTACCTCTGTTAATTTTTATAAGGTGTACTTTAATTTCAGAAAGTCTAAGATTAAACTTTGACGATTAATTTCTCATAAAATATATTCTTAATACCTTTAAAACCAGTACTGTGTGAAATCACTTGGTATATTAATCGATTTGTATAATTTTGATACACAAAATTTATTTGTAATTTGGCTAATCGTTGGTCAAAATCAACAAGGTTTGCCCTTTTGAAATCCAAATATGCCTTATGAGAATCAATGGAGGGAGTAACTCAGAAATACTATCCCTGGATTCAGCCAATTCTATGGGTATTCAGTTATTTACTAGTTATAGTTTTTATTTTCCTTGCTGTGTTATTTTTCCTCTTTTAGGACTTTATGTCAACTCGGCACTAATATTTTGTTCTGGATTACACTAATAATTTGTTCTGGATCGAATTATGTGTCTTGTTGCAACAAGTACTCTATGTCAAGTTAAGCATATACATTTCTGTATATCTTAAACGTCTCCTTGGCTCCTTGTGTACTTTCCTGATTACAATAAGTACTTTTGCCATCATGCTGTTAGGTGTCCAAATAACTAGAGTCAGTATATTATATTTGTATAAACAAAGCCATATTTATATTCAGGTGGCAGCCAAGCAAAACAAATTCGAGCAGAAGAAATGCAAAATGGTTTAGGCAGAGGAATACCATCATCATGGGAAGATGTGCTGCAGTCCAGTTCAGGTTTTCCAGCTCCTTCTATATACCAGGCAAGGAATTTATTCCTTTACGAATTATTTTCCACATCATTGTGGAACAAAATATTTCTAATTCATACAAGCTGTGAACAGCCTAAGATGATTTTCTGTTTGCTTTTTAAGAGAGATAACTATGGAGTGTTCCTGGTTAAATATTTTGATGGTTTATTGCCCTAATTGAATTGTATTGATGCTCTCTTTTTGCATGAGCAGTCAACTCCCCACTATCCACAAAATTCAGAATATCAACCACCAGGAAGTCTATACAACAGTGATATGCAGCAGATTTCTGCTGCTAAAAGATTTCTTTTGGAGACAGAAGACTCTATTGATTCACCATCTTATAACTATGTGCCCAGAGAAGAAGGAAACAATGGCACTAATACTCTTTCAGTTCATGACTATAGTCTTCAGAGCAGTCTGAACCCAGATTGGAAAAAAACAGCACCTCTAACACTTCAAAGCAATTTGTATGGCTCTGAAATACCAAGCTTATTGTTGGACCATGGTCAGTTTGAATCATTGTCCTCTGGTGAAAATACAAGATTGATCTTGGGTCAAAACCCCCGGTTTAGCATCCGTGAGGTCTCTCCAGAATGGACATACTGCTATGAGATCACCAAGGTACACCACAAAGCTTTTAGCCTTTTGTTGACATTTTAACATCAGCTATTCTTATTTCGCTCTGTTTCTCTCATAAACGCAGGTCATCATTACTGGAGATTTCTTATGTGATCCATCAAGCTCATGTTGGGCAGTAATGTTTGGTGATAGTGAGGTGCCAGCTGAAATTGTTCAGGCAGGTGTTCTTCGCTGCCACACACCATTACATAGTAGTGGGAAGCTAACAATCTGTGTTACTTCTGGGAATAGAGAAATTTGCAGTGAAGTCAAAGACTTTGAGTTCCGTGCAAAGTCAACAGCTTCTAGTTTCCTAGACATTTCACCATCATCTAGATCTCTGAAATCTAGCGAAGAGTTGTTACTTCTTGCGAAATTTGTAAGAATGCTATTGTGTGAGAATGGAAGTCATGCAAATTCAAACGGTGATCCTCAGTCTGTGCAGTGTCCAAAACTTAAGATGAATGACGAGCACTGGCAGCGGTTGATAGATGAACTCAAAGGAGGATGTGAGAATCCATTAAACGTGTCTGATTGGATTATGGAGGAGCTTCTTAAAAGTAAATTGCAGCAGTGGTTATCAGTTAAGCTACAAGGATATGATGGCATAGCCTGTTCTCTGTCCAAGCATGAGCAGGGTATTATACACTTGATCTCTGCACTAGGCTATGAGTGGGCTCTGTCTTCAATTCTTAGTGCTGATGTTGGTATAAATTTCCGTGATACGAATGGATGGACAGCACTTCATTGGGCTGCTTATTTTGGAAGGTAATCAAAATTTATATTGTATTGTTAGTGATGTTACATTTTGGCTGGCTTGAAATTTCTACATAACAATTCTTTTGGATAGGAGGCACATGTTTTTGTTTACTCAAGATATATTTTCGTTTCTCCAATATTTTTAGAAATCAAAACAATAGTGTCAGTGAATTGTATTTAAGTATCCTCAATAACAATAACTCAGTAAGTAATAGCCTACACAACAAAGTATAAACATTGATCTTACATTACATAAACATTGATCTTACATTACAGTTGAAAATCAAAATTTTAGTTTGCAAGATGTTTCGGACTGTTTGTGGATTCAATATGTACACAAAATGCAGCATGCTAGGTAGTATTGTGAAATGATAGCATACTTTAACCCCACTTCTCTCTTTCCACAAAACATTATTAGCAAGTCATTTTTATTGCAGGGAAAAGATGGTTGCTGCACTTCTTGCTGCTGGGGCGTCTGCTCCAGCAGTCACAGACCCCACTGCACAAGATCCAGTGGGAAAAACAGCGGCTTTCCTGGCTTCTGAACGGGGACACTTGGGCCTTGCAGCCTATCTTTCAGAAGTGTCACTAACTAGTTATCTTGCGTCGCTCACTATACAAGAGAGTGATACTTCAAAAGGATCAGCTGCAGCTGAAGCAGAAAGAGCAGTAGAGAGCATATCCCAGAGGAATGCCCAGCTGCATGGTGGTACAGAAGATGAGCTCTCGTTAAAGGACTCTTTGGCAGCCGTGAGAAATGCAGCTCAAGCAGCGGCTCGAATTCAGAACGCTTTCCGTGCCTTCTCTTTCAGGAAGAGACAACAAAAGACTGCTCGACTTAAGGATGAGTATGGGATGACCCAAGAAGATATAGATGAACTTGCAGCTGCATCAAGGTCATATTACCAATCTCTTCTTCCAAATGGTCAGTTTTATGATAAAGCAGCTGTCTCAATTCAGAAGAAATTCAAAGGTTGGAAAGGACGAAGACATTTTCTCAACATGCGCAGGAATGCAGTTAAAATACAGGTAAAGGAATTAGGAAATGTTAGGTTCAGAGCCTCTTTTTTTTAAAAAAAAATGAATTCATTGGCACATGAATTGAATTTTAATTCCTTGATCTCTCTCAAGCTGTATTTTACACAAGCACAAGGACCTTACCTTAGCGGCCCATTCTTTGTACAGGCTCATGTAAGAGGCCATCAAGTGAGAAAGAAATACAAGACTTTCGTCAGCACTGTCAGTGTGCTAGAGAAAGTGATACTGAGGTGGCGTCGGAAAGGACATGGTCTACGTGGCTTCCGAGCTGAGCAAACAGCAATGGCTGAAGCAGAAGAGGATGACGAGGATGATGATGATGACGACTTCAATGATGATGAAGCAGTCAAAGTGTTCCGCCGACAGAAGGTTGATGAATCTGTCAAGGAGGCTATGTCAAGAGTACTGTCCATGGTGGACTCTCCTGAAGCAAGGATGCAATATCGTCGAATGCTTGAGGAATTTCGACAAGCCACTGTAAGTAGCACAAATTGCTTTAGCAATGCTCTTAGCCTCTAATGATAAGCCATGTTACCCAAGGAAAGTAATTCTGCCAGAAACCAACAGTAGAAACATTTGGAAAACAAAAATATTGATCTATCTATCTGTCTTCAGGAACCAAATCCAAATCTAGTTCAGTCTAACTTTTGGACAAGGCTTACTGTAATGATAGGTTCCTTGTGCAAATTTCATTATAATAAAATGAGTAAATTGCACTTTCCACCGGGTACATTGTATCTCGTTTCACTTTACACCAGATTTAGTACGTACTTTCACTTTACAGTTTACACAGGGTAAAGATGAAATAAGTTTCGCTTTGCACTAGATTGTGTCACATGATTGAAAGAAAAATTTGTAAAATCTAGGTGAAACTTACAACCATCGCAGTACATTCAGCTTTGCTTAGCCAAATTCTGATCCATGCATCCTGATTGAAATTGCAGGCTGAATAGGGTGCATCAGATGAAGCGGCATCAACACTCGACAATGATTTACTAACAAGAATCGACGACTTCATGCACTGAAACAATGCATCAGACAAGGGGCGATCACGGAGCTGTCTACAGTTAATTAGGAAATAGATAGTCTGCAGCTAATTTATGACCTGATAGTGTTCCGTTTGTACAGTCTTTGCCTGATGGATCTATCTAATGTTCTGAGTAAATTATTGTTATTTAGGAACACTTTACATATGTAATTCGAGGGGAAATAATATAATGTTCTGAGTACATTATTGTTGCTTAGTAGGATTTGATTATTGCATTCTGCCATTTCCCATGAAATGCTGTATGACTTGGGCAGTATGGTATATCTGTTGGTTAACCTGTGACTTGCAGAATGTCCTTGGATGTTTGAAGTACTACAAAAGTTCAAACTGGTAACTACCCAACCCTTAATTGATGGAACAGAAGAATCATGAACATCTGTTATTTCCACATCATGTCAGCTAACCGGTCAGCTTCTTGTCTTGGCGTATTGGTCCTGTTACTCGAAACTTGTGCACATATGGCAGATCAATTGAAGGTGTTTGGCCAAGTTACTATTAAGCAAAGCTTTACCTCGCCAAAGAAATTAAGATTAATCATATGTATTACTATTTCCATTGCTTGTGAGGACACAAATATCATCATGCTCGACAAAGGAAAAAGTGTACAGAGGTCATGGTTGCTCAAAGAGTATACAGAAGTCTTGGAAATGAAAGCAAGGCCAAATTGGTGGGAAAATATACACCAGATGTTTGTTTCAGTTACTAGCTACTTCGTGTTTATCACTACTCATAGTACACTTTCTGAATACTTGAAAGAAAAATCATTACAATATTGTATTTGCAAACTGATTGTATCCCTTCAGATTTCTCTCTCAAGGTCAGCTGATACAATTTTGCATTAACATACTTCTAGCTATGATTTTTGGATTCCTAAAGGATAAATGCCGATGAGTTTTCACACTGAGCAAGGACTCTGCCACATTGATATGTCCGATATTAAATCATGGAGTTGGTCGATAAGGAGCTTTACATGCTTGTTTTTGCTTTCAATTTCCTGCAGTAAACATCCTGTATTAGACTGGTTTACGGTACCAGAGAACAGTATGCCACATTACTAGGTTGAAACAAAAAATGTATTATATATGTCAAAAGCGTGAGGACTCAAAACTTCCACAGACCATGATACCACGGGCATATATAGAAATCTGAACTAGGACACATGGGATCAGCTAATTGAGATTGTACTGACCAGTGTATGTTTAAAATGAAATGCTTTGAACTTTTTAGGAACAAACTATGTAATCGAGGCATTAGAGAACACTGTTTGCTACATAGTTATTAGAACTAGACCAGACCAGTGGTCCGATCAGAAAAAAAGGGAACCAGGGCGTTGGCTGGTCCAGTCCAGCTAAAAGATCGTTGAGCAAACAGACCGGCAAAAACCCATTGAACCGGGCGGTTTTCTGCAGAACCAGACAAAAACCGAAGGTGGTTCGACTGCTGGAGGGTGTCACGTGGAGTTAGAGAAAATAGGAAAAAACCTGCTGAACTGAAGATCGAACCAAGACCTCCTTGCTTCCACGGAGAGTCTCAGCCGGCTATGTCACATGTTGTTCTAGTATTCTAACACACATCTATTTGAACCGCTTTAAACCGGCGGTTTGACTGGTCCGACCAATAAACCAGTGAACCGAGTACCCTAACAGTTCGATCACCGGTCCGGTCTTAATAACTATGGTTTGCTACACTTCAAACATAGGAGTACATGAAAATCACTGATCTCAATAAATCATACAAATGGAACTGAATAAGCCACAAATCCATTTTTCTATACACATTTATACACATCAAGGAGAATAATCTGTATTTATGCTATAATGATCTAGCATAGATAAGGAGTAGTTGAGACTTACAAGGCCATTACAGCCAACAGCCCTCCAAAGGATGAAAAGGATTTGCTAAATAGTCCAGAATCCAATTAGCATCAAAGGTGGATTTGCAAAAACTTACTCCCTCTGTCCCAAAATAACAAACCTAGTAACAGACCCCTATCCAGATTCCTAGTATTAGGGTGTGTCACATTCCATACTATGTTTATTTATTTTGGGACGGAGGGAGTAAGTTCTAAACTAGCAGGCAAATCCAAGTATGCAAACAATAATGACATGCAGTATCCAGTGCAGAAAAAACAATGATAAGATAACAACTTAACAAGCATGAATATTGCCAGGAAAGATCAAGATGGAACGCTTTTTTGACGAGTTCAACAGAATGAACATGACTATCCAAAACACTACAAGCAACACAGTATCACAGCTTGCCAAACTAGATCCTGGCTATCTAAAATGGTTTCAGGTAAAAATTGGGGATTACACTCTTCTCAGGACTTTTTGAATTAAAATGATTGAAGCATAAAAGGAACATATATATATATATATATATATATATATATATATATATATACACACACACACACACACACATTATGTTCAAAACAGGTTGTTTGGGAAATATTTGGGATTGACATGGCTAAATAAGCACCAGTTACCAACTGGTTCAGGGAAAAATTCTGAATACAGCAAAATGATATTGATTATATTGCTAGAACATTCCCAAGATAGTACCTTTCTCAAAGCAGATGCATGTTCTTCCAATCTCTCAATCTCAGCTTGATCAGCTTTGTGTTCTGTCGATCCCATCTCCTACGAAGAAAACCACAACATCATTACAAAGAAGTAAACTGTTATGAGGTTTCTCCATAGCACCATATTTTGCACATCAGGATTACACTTACTGCTAAAAATAGAATCATATAAAACTACTATTTTTGTCTCATGAACATTGAACACTAAAAGCTCATGTTGATTGAAACATATATATAGTCCACATCCATGTAGTCCGAACCTACATCACAACATCCCTTACATTCCCTTACATTGGTATCAATAATAAGAAATTTTCTTTTGCAAAAATTATTTGGCTCCCTTACCTATGTATAAGCACCTAACTTGATATCAACAAAGAGTGCAATACGTTTCACAATTTCCACTAGACGATCACTAGAAACACGCATTTCGTGGTTGCATACATACTACGGGAGCATGCAATGTCGGGTAAATTCGTGTGCTGACCTGAGCACAGGACGACACGGCGGCGATGGACGTGCGGAGCGCCGCCATGGCGACCTTGTACCGGTGCCTGGCCTCGTCGAGCGACCCGCCGGAGCCCGGCGCGCCCCCGGGCCCTCCCCCGGCGGCGTCGGCGGCGTCGGAGTCCGCGGAGTGCAGCGGCGGCGGCGGCGGAGGGAGACCGCCGTGGTGGTGGTGGTGCTGGTGGTGGTGGTGGTGGTTGTTGCCGTGGTGCTGGAGTCCGCCGGCGCCGCCCGCCGCGGCGGCGGCGGCGGAGGAGGAGGACCAGAGCGTGGGGTTGCAGAGCTCGTCGTTCATGGAGGAGAGGATCTGGAACGCGGCGGCGATGGTCTCCTCCAGGTGGCGCTGCCCCTCCGCCGCCATCTCCTGCCGCCGCCGCGCCGCCGCCGAGGAGGCCATCGCCGGAACCCTAGCCGATCTGCTCCTCCTCTCGTCGGCGCTGGCTGTGAAGTGAACTAAGCTTAGCTTCAGAGCCCAACATAGTCCAAAAGCCCAAAGGATATGTTGATTTTGGGCCGAAGCTCGAAGCCCAGGCCTGGCCTTATCAGGGCCCTAGTATTTGAGCGGAATAAGTCCAATTTGTCTCCCTCGACTATAGGTCCAATCTGATTCGTTCTCCCTTAATCGCAAACCGTGTATATCGAACCCTCGGCTATTAACACCGGTGAATAAAAAAACTCTTTTTAGTTATTTTGAGGGTGGTTTTCGTTAACGTGGCTCATTGAACTGGTCTAACCGATTAAGTCAGCATGTGGGACCCACATGTCGTCCCCTTCTCTTTCTCCTCATGCTTTTGTTTTTTCTTTTCTTCCCTCTCCTTTCTCCACGCGGTGACGAGCTCAAGCATGAATAGTGTCAGTGACTTAGACGACAAAGCCACCACCGACACAACCAACTAAGCTTGGTTCTGTTGGCAACCTTGTGGAGCAAAGGAGGGAAGGGCCACAGCGGTGATGGAGAGTCGGAGAGGCCCAGTGCTGCCGTAGATGTCCTCTTCATTGTGGGCTCCAACGGTTGCCACACCGAGGCCCCTCACTGATCTGGACAAAGCCGGGTCCCATCAGTGTTTCTCCTTCACAGATCCGAGCCTCAAGCCACTTCCCCTTCTCTCTGTCGCCTCCTCTAATCCGACGTCCTTTTCCCACCTTCACCTCTATCAACGCCTCGGTTAATAAGGCCTAGCAATGGACAAGGATGGTGATTGACCTCGCTGTCATCGAGATCTAAGAGTCCTTCTCCTTTATATGTTGTGGAGCCATACATGGCAATAGTGAGGGAGAGAGAGAGGAGGGTCACGTGCATATCTCTGCATGGCCAAGGGATAGCCACCACCCGTCGGAGGACAAGGGGTAGATGTCGACGAGCTCTTGTAGTCATCATTGCCACCGAGGGGGAGGTCATCCTCGATGGCTCGCTGGAGCACGTCGTCCATGTCGTTGACCTTAATGACAGACTCAAGCTGTAGGCAATGGCGAGCACATGCCCCCTATCCTTGGTGGGCGTGGCAACCTTGTTCCGCTACCGTTCTTGGTGAGGGCAACGAGGCAAATCCAATGAGGCAAGCGAGCTCGATCTTGATGAAGCTTCTCCAGAGATAGGAAATGTCGACATGTGTGTCCTCGATTGCTGGAGTCCAACGTCTCCCGCCCGTCTCTAGCCACCTCTTAGACGACACTTCGTTTGCTCCACCGTACCGAAGAGCGGTGGTCGGTGTCCTCTCCTGATCCCAGGAAGGGGGTGGAATGGGAATTGGGAAGAGTCACCTTCGTCAGATGCTCAGTGGCATCCCTATCGTCTTCCCTTGTTCTACCGACCGCCTTCCCAACTAGAGCTCATCACCATGTAGGGAAAGGATAGGGAAGAAAGAAGATAAAAGTAAAAGAGGGAGGAGGGGACGCTGACATCTAGGCCCCACATGCTAATTCAGTCGGTTAGATCAGGTCAACAAGCCACGCCAGCGAATATCGTCCTCAAAACACTCGAGGAAGTTGTTTTATAACAGTTTTAATAGTTGAGGGGTCAATATATCCTACTTTGGGTTAATTGATACAAATCAGGTTAACCTATGGTTGAAGGAGTCAAATTGGATTTTTTTTTTCGAAAAGAGCTATATAACATTCGATAGTGTTTTAGATAGAAGACTTTCAAAACGTAATTAATGTAATTTGAAGTGCAATTACACTGTAACTATCTTATAAGATGTAAAATAAATAACTTGTATGTAATTAAGCAAAGGTCATGCGCGATGGCTGGTGACTACGCAGGTCATGTGTTCGATTCCTGCTTCCTGCCTGCACGAATCTTGATGTGATCTAACGGTCCACAAATCGATGTTAAGGAGAAACCAAATTTGTGTAAGACATATAGCAAACCTACCCTTTCGTTTTTCCTATTTGAGCCATGCCGGGACGGGCTAGTATTAAAGCCCCATATAGGTTTTGGGCTGAGCTTGTGCTAAAACTATCGGAATGCTTATATTTTGAAACGGAGGGTGATGGCAACAAAATGCTCGATCTTTCGTCAGATGAAGATGACTATCGATTTGGTGGAAACTTTACACACATGATTTGGCTTCCAATCAACATGATCCAAACCCTGCAATTGCAGCACCACGTCTACTCTAGTTATCAACCATGCCAAAATCTGATTGACCTCACCGATAAGACTAATCCTTACGTGTGAATCAAGAACACAACCAAGAGCAAGAAAAATAGCAACTCAATTGCAGATGAATGATTATTCAAGAACTCATGGGGCTTCACAAAACCGATCTAGCAGCGAAACTGCGAAAGCAGAAATAATCTAAGCAAAATCCAACCATAAGTCGATGGCGGCTATTGAATATATAGGATTTAGGGTTGACCTTCGACCCCTGGATGCGTCTCTATTAGACACCAACACGATACACGGCCCAACGGGCCCAAAGACGGTGACGCAACACCCGGACATATTCTAAACGCCTTCTTGTTTTGAAGATTCCCGTTGACTCAAAAGGAAGTTTGACGTGGGACCAGATCCATTGAAAAGGTGGTCTTGTTAGCTTTCCATACATATGTAGAACGTCAAAATTGGAGTCCAAATACAACCTGGGCAAAGAATTTAGTGTGAACTGCTCCTAGAACCTGAAGTGGACTCGAACTTGATATGAGTTGGATCTCCATCTTGACTTAAACGTACATGATGACCTTGTCCATTTCTTAGCCTCTCTCCAAGTGCTCCATGGTTATATCCATAGTTCCTAATCATAATTAAATCATTAGGTAGCAATCTATTCTCAAGAGCACATAAAGAAGTACTTATAAACGAGCTCATCTGTAAATTACTATCGGGCGTGAGCTCTAGTGATTGGACCTTGCGAAATAACTTGAGAAGTAGCGTGCGTATAAGAGGAGTGATGCCCTCGTTAGAGGGAGTACATGATGATTTCTCGTTTTTATAATTACTAAAGTTACATATATAGAAATGATTGTGTCCAACGAGATTGCATGCATGCATGATCCAACTTAATCCAATAACAAATATAGAGAATGCTATAGCTATATATCCTGTTTTGCAAACAAATTAAAACATGCTACAATAATCCTGTACGTCGTTTTCTTTGATCTTTCTAAAACTAAATTAGCCAAATCTTCTCATCTCAGAACGTCATAATCTAATATCGACCCTATATCAACATATGTACTATACTTAATTTCTTTTTGCATGGTTTCATGAACCTTTCTTCTTCCGAAGAGGCGCACTGCGAACATGTGAGCCTGACCCGCCCACGCATTGGTTGGCAGAGACTAGCTTAATTAGCATCACACATGTCGGCGTTTTCACCTAATCTGTGATCAAAATACAGACAAAAATAAGTTCTCTCCCTGCAAATTGCACGACCCCGACAAGTCAAAATCAAATCAAAATCGTATTTGCAAACTTGTTGTGATTGATTATATACTTTCGTTGTATGTATCGCGATGTTGACTTCGCACACGTTAATTGAATGAAACTTATCAGGAAGAAAAAAAAATCAGGTACGAAGAAGAAACAGTGTTCTTGTGCTTGTGCAGTGTATCACATCGCTCGTGAGGATTAATTAAGGTAACCTTTTTCTTTAATTATATACGGAGTATATAGCAAGAGAAACATGTGATTACGTATCTTAATCAGAACGTCAGTTTGCTTGCAAGTACTCCACTAGCTAGTAATATCGTTGGTTGGCTTTCCTCGTCATCGATCTGGAAATTAATGATTTGAGTTTTGACTCGATCATAGACTTAGTTTTCTATGACTAAAAATCAGAGTTTTTTTTCTACGAGATTAGGAGGATGTGACAAGCAAACAAAAATTATTTAATATGTTTTCCCATGTGGCATTTGTTAGGCATGATAAATGCATAATTGACAGCTCAAAGTCCGACTAATTCGAGTGTCGACGATACAATGTTCATGGCACGAGAAAGGTTGTGTAATTAAGGAATTTGTAAAGTCATTTGGTGTGCACGTCTTATTTATTTCCCAAGTGATGTAATATGTGCACACTAACTAATGATTTAAGCATGGATTTAATGTAATGGAATTAGAAATGTTTTGTGTAGAAAAACAATAAGCTAATCGCCCTGGAGAGTGGAAACCATGGAAAGCGTAGTCCATGGAAAGAGATGAAGAAGGGTTTGTCGACAATAAAGGGGGGAAAACTGTCGAATTTTTGACCGTCGGATTCGCCTCAAGATTAGTGCTAGCACGTTGGTGGAAAAAATCCGCATGATAACTATAATTTGCATGCTGCGTGGGGTTCGAACCCAGGACCTCATTCCCACCAGCTATGCATGGTAGCCACTTCATCTCTTGCAAGCTTTTTGAAAAGTTTGCAAGTTACAGTTAATTATACTCTCGTTACACCCTAGTTACATTGTACTAGAGTGTAACTATACTATAACTATATTGTTATCTCTATATTATTAGATATAAAGTTGCATATATTATTTTAATATATATATACAAGTTATTATTATTATAGTATATAGTTCTAGTGAAATTATATACTGTAGTTAGATTTGAAAGTTTTCCATAAAAAAACACTCAACAGTTTTCTAGCTAATCCCTAATATAATATACTCTGTATTATAGGAAATATATCATTGGTAATGATGAATTAAATATTATATATATCATAAATTTAACAAATATAGGCTTGAAAAGTGTTCATGTAAACCATACCAACCAAAAAAAAAGTTTTTCGAGAAATCCTAATTTTGAAAGATCTGCATGAATAGATCTGATACTCATAAAAATGGTTATTTACTTTGGGTTATTGAGAATAGAAACATAACAGCAACATATTTAGGCATAATAAATATGAAGTCGACCAACACTATCAGAGGTAGCTCACCGATCAAGCGACCATCAAATCTAACAGGACTCGTGCTATGGCATCGGCCGTGACCGAATCGCCGGAAATTAACCACTAAACTCTAAACGTACATGATCTCTCGCTTAGCTCGCTGGCTTCACCACTATCCAAGAAGATGAAGACAACAAGACGAGGTGACACGAATGGCCTCATCGTTTGGCTGGTTTTAAGTATAAGCGAAACGGTATATTTAAAAAAAATTGTAAATAAAACTTTATATATATATATATATATATATATATATACACACACACCTAAAAGCAAAGACTGAAAAATAAACTTTGATGAAAAAAAACCTTAAAATCAACTCCAATTTTAATGTTGAAAATTTAAATTTTGACTAATAAATATAAGCATAAGTGAAAAATTAAGTTCAGTAAACACTTTCCTTATTAGCTCAGCCGGGCCGTCCCCTTTCTCTATATCACACTAATCATATTATCTCCGACAAACTCAAAACAATAATAGGATTAGAATGAAGAAAGCACCCCTGAGCTTGCATACTCCCAATATCTCATAATATAGCAACTTGTAATCGAATACAATATATTCTAATATATAAATTTATTATAAATATACCAAAATACATCACATCCGATTTTAGATTGCTGCTATATTCTGAAATAGAGCGAGCGGGTAACAAAACTGCACGGCCACAGATCCGAGAACGAGCATGCCAGATTGGACCGCACCTGGCCCTCCTTAAATATCGGGCAATCATCGTCACACACAGTGACAGAGCCGACATCATCGCCGTGGAGCTCATATCCATCCATCCATATAAATATAAATGGCGATGAAACGCCTCACCAGCTGCTGCTGCTGCTAGTGCCAACAGCTGCATCCTCCCGTAGGCGTAGGCAGCTAGCTAGCTAGCTCGATCGAGGCCATCTCCATTTCCGGCCTATCCCTCTTCTTCTTCCTCCTCCTCTTCCTCCGCCTGTCCGGTTCTTGTTCTGGTGCTGCTTTGCTCGACACCATCCGATTTTTTGGAGGCGATTGCCGTGCTGTCACCGGAAAAAGGAAAGAGAAGAAAAGAAAAGGCTTTCCTTCCTCCTGTGCTGCCCCGCCAACATCGTGTTGAATCTCGTCGATATATATTTTGCTCCGATTGGTGCCTTTTTCTCCTGGAATTTTGTGTCCTGTTTCTCTGTGTGGGTGGAAGGCCTCGCCTTTCAATCCTTCCATCATCTTGCTGTCCCCCCCTCGATTCTTTGCTTCTTCTTCTTCTTCGAAAGAAAGAAATTAAATATTATTACTTGTTTGATCTTTTCCTTTTAGCAATTTCTGCCAATCCCCAGGTTCAGTATTTAGTTTCCATCCGAGCAGATTTCTTGTTCTTCGCTTCAAAAATCTGCGTATCGAATTCCATCCATTTTTTTGCTTTGTCCAATTCGTGGATAAAGAAAGAGAGGGGGAGCTACGAATCCGGCGAGATGGGGAAGGTAGGGGAGAAGGTGAGGGCGTTCGCGACGAACAGGTGGCTGGTGTTCGTGGCGGCAATGTGGCTGCAGTCCATGGCCGGCATCGGGTACCTCTTCGGGGCCATCTCGCCGGTTGTCAAGGCCGCGCTGGGGTACAACCAGCGCCAGGTGGCGGCGCTCGGCGTCGCCAAGGACCTCGGCGACTGCGTCGGCTTCCTCGCCGGGACGCTCTCCGCCACGCTGCCCGCCTGGGCGATGCTGCTCGTCGGCGCCGCCCAGAACTTCCTCGGCTACGGCTGGCTCTGGCTCATCGTCACCAGGCAGCTCCCTGCGCTGCCCCTCTCCATGGTACTACTTTGCAATGGCCAATGGATTGGTTGTTCTTGGATTTGATTTTCGGTTCTTGGATTGCTTTGCTCGTGGTGGAATCCCTTGATTTGATTGATTGATCAATTGAAACTCAAGATTGCAATGTTAGCTTAGTTAGCTTGTACTGTTGGTGATGAGCTCTGAAGATTGCTTATTAAATTACTGTACAAGTTGTCTATTTGTTGCTTGTCAAATTCATCAGGAACCAAATGTTTTTGTGATTGTTCTCCTCTTGATCGGATAAGGAGTAGTAGGAATTGTGAAGAAGGTGGGGCCTAATATGAGATGGTGACAGCAAAGCGTATGATTTATATAATCCGTAGCTGAATGGGATGGGTTGGGGAAAATGGCGTGGAGGATAGATCTTAGATTAGATCGAAGGTGTATGGATGATTTTTTTAAGCACCGGATTACTTGTGAAACTAACCAATCGAATTTCTGGACCAGCGAAGCAGTGATGGTATATTCTTGATGTATTCTTATTTGGGTGTCTTTGTCACTTTATGTTGGCCATATGCATCCCTTTTGTTTCTTCAGCTGTTAACCAGATACATTTCATAATGACATCAATGTAGTGGAGGTTCATATCAATTCCGAAGTAACCTGTTGAGTGTTGGCATGTTGCTTTTGTAGCCAAACTCTCTTGATCTGCTTATATACAATTTTTTTTTCATCTTCTTTTCGGATGGTAAAGTGGTCAGGTTTGACTTCCTAAACTTAGCATGATGTGTCCATCCAAATTCCATGAAAGAGGAAGTGATTGTGCCACGTACAGTGCATGAGTGCGTTATATTGTCATGAGTATGCACACAGCTTTGCCACATTGTGAATTTTTATTGGAAAATCTGAATTTGAAACCATGAATCTTCACCTTTATCCTCGTGTGTGTCCACACAACATTGCCAGGTTTTGGTGTTTGAGTGGATGGTGCTTATAACTTGTAAGTTAACAACTAGTTTATAAAAATAATTTGCATGTTTTTCTAAGGGATGAGGGGTTGAGTGTTCAATTGGGGATGGTTTAATCCATGATTTTTTTTTTGTCTTGCCATGCAGAATGATTTTATTTGTACTGTTGTTTTCATATTTCTTTGATTTATGGAATAAATCCAGTTTAATATGACATGTGCCCATGTTCAACAAAAAGAATTGTATAGAATAGCATTGACTTGTCATATTAAATTAACCAACAAATGCTGTTACTACCTGGTATTACTAAATTATATGGATTAAACAGGGAATCCTGTACTTTCCATCCTGTTTATGTTCATATCCCCCAATTCTACATGATCAAATGAATAATACAAGTACCCAACTTAAGCAATTATACGATTTTATATTACAGCTGAAATATAATCTGTCACTGTTTCTTTATCCAGATGTGCCTTCTTATCTTTGTTGGAACCAATGGCGAGACATACTTCAACACAGCTTCACTTGTGACATGCATTCAGAACTTCCCAAAGAGCAGGGGCCCAACAGTGGGTATCCTTAAAGGATTTGCTGGCCTAAGCAGTGCTATTCTGACTCAACTGTTTGCAGTATTGCACACACCTGACCATGCCACACTTGTCTTCATGGTTGCGGTTGGACCGTCATTGGTTGCCATTGGCCTGATGTTTGTAATTAGGCCTGTTGGAGGTCACCGTCAGGTGCGACCATCCGACAATAACAGCTTCATGTTCATCTACACCATTTGTTTGCTCCTTGCTTCATATCTGGTCGGTGTCATGCTCGTTCAAGATTTTGTGCAGCTGAGTGACAATATGCTAGTTTTTATCACGGCGGTTCTTTTCATCCTGCTTATTTTACCAATTGCAATTCCTGTGACCTTGACATTTTCGTCAAAAACTGAACATCCGATGGAGGAGGCTCTCCTGGCTGAACCATCAAAAGGACAGGCAAGTACTTCACAAGAAAAAGAGCCAGATGTATTTTTAAGTGAGGTGGAAGACGAGAAGCCTAAAGAAATTGATTCATTGCCCCCATCTGAAAGAAGGAAGAGGATTGCAGAATTGCAGGCCAGGCTAGTGCAAGCTGCAGCACGAGGTGGTGTTAGAATCAGGAGGCGACCGCACCGAGGAGAGAACTTCACCCTGATGCAGGCATTGGTCAAGGCTGATTTTTGGCTAATTTGGTTATCGCTTCTGCTTGGCTCGGGATCAGGGTTGACAGTGATCGACAACCTGGGTCAGATGAGCCAGGCTGTTGGGTACAAAGACGCCCATATCTTTGTTTCATTGACGAGCATATGGAATTTCCTTGGTCGTGTCGGAGGTGGCTACTTCTCTGAGAATATTGTCAGGTGTGGACACTACAAAATCTTAATTTTAGCCTAGCATTCGCTGTTAGTACATTCAAAATTGTTTCTATCATCTCACACTAAAAATAAAAACCTCTTTATTTTGGGTTTATTTTTACTTCAATCCATAATTTATTTTTTTTGGCTAGGACATAGCACACTTGTCTGTTAATACACAGAGTCTGCTCCACAGTGTCAATTTCCTTGCTATATCTTCAGTTATCCTTTTTTTCCCCTGCACATATATTTTTCAGTTGTCTTGTCACACTAATCATGATATGAATTTGCGTATTTTTGACTGATTAATATCAATAGTTAGTGTTTTTTTCACCATATATTTACTTAGTATTGTTCTGATCAGGGAACGTACATACCCAAGGCACATAGCACTGGCTTTTGCTCAGATCCTGATGGCTGCTGGGCATTTCCTCTTTGCAATGGCTTGGCCTGGAACCATATATGTGGCAACCTTCCTGGTTGGGCTTGGATATGGAGCTCATTGGGCTATTGTGCCAGCTGCTGTCTCTGAACTTTTCGGTGTAAAACACTTCGGCGCAATGTACAATTTTCTCACAGTAGCAAACCCCACAGGGTCACTGATCTTCTCAGGTGTCATCGCTAGTAACTTGTATGACTATGAAGCTGAGAAGCAAGCGCACCACCAGAGTTCTTTGTCTGGACGATCTCTTTTCGACATGAGCTTCCTCGCAGAGGGTCCTCTGAAGTGTGAAGGAGCTGTTTGCTTCTTTGTCAGCTCATTGATCATGTCAGCATTCTGCATTGTTGGAGCTGGCCTTAGCCTCATCGTCGTTCACAGGACCAAGCGAGTGTATGCTAACCTCTATCGAGCTGTCCGCTGACTTGAAATTTCCATGGATAGAAGATGGTGAATCCCCCTTTTGTTGTTCCATGTTACCTGTATTATTGTGTACATGATTCAAGATACACAAAGTCTACCTGTAAAGTTTCAGATCATTTCAGAGATTGTATTGTAAGAATAGCTATTCCCAAGTGGAAGTTTACATGCACTATAAAGTAATGATCATGGGGCATTCTTTATATTTTAAGAGCCTGTACTTGCAATCAGAAAAATAGTTGCATACTCATGTATTTTTTTTCCATACATGAATCTCTTATCTTTTAGTTGCAAAATACTGATATAGTATCCTTTTGTTCATGAACGCATCTTCAATGATTTTAGCAAAGCTGAAAAGTTAAGCTGTTGCTTACTTTGCTTTCTTCCAGGCAATATTATAATGTTGCCTCTTGCATATCTTTCCATTTTTCTTTGGTCTAGATAAAATTTTAGTTTGGAAGAACAGCTGCAAGAGAAAAGGATCAAGAATCAACCAAGATTGGGACCTGGAACAACAGTAAGCACCTTCACTCCAACCCTTTTTATTGTTGCAGCTTCTTTATATGAAAGTCTGTAAAATTCTAGTACTTGATTTGCACCTTCCTTAAAACTTTAATTCCGTTATGAAGCTGGATCACATCAATTGGGAACTCTTGTGTGCTACCATATTGCTCTTGCTATAGCTAGCTGCTAGTACTGAACATTGTCATTTCTGTGGAAGTGTAACCTAAGGAGAAGCTGCAGTTTGTTTCCATTTACTGTTGCTGAAAAACTATGATTCTTATATATTGTAGATTGCCTAAGCTTCTGAATATAATGTAACATAGCATGTGTATCTTAGTGATCTTCATGTCCAGTAATTTCAGTTCCATTTTATGTCTGCCATTATAACAACTGATTCTGGCTGCTACTGACAACCAAATGAATCTCTGAACCAAACCATGGATTGAGGGAAACACAATTTTGCTCAGATCTCTGCTCTTAACTCATACCACTAGCTATGAAACAGCTTCCACATTTTTCTCTTGTGTGCATGTTTACTTCTCCAAGATTCTGAAGTTTACTTGTGTAAGTGCATCAAGATCATCATCTGCTTGACAGCTCCAGCTCTGCAGCAGTAGCAGCAACAACACCACATTACTGCAATCCTCAACAGCTGCTGTTTTTTTTTCTACTGTGTTCAACTACTCTTACCTCTGAACTAGTATGGCAGTCTTTAAGTGTGTTCTTAATTAATGTTCAGTTACAGTCTCTGCATGATAGCGGGCTGGCATCGTCAGGCTCCATCTACAGAGTGTGTGATACCAAAGATTCATTCAACTGCTTTGCTGTTGCCGCCTTTTCTCCTTACCAGAATTCAGAAACCAAACTGCATTCTTGAACAAAGAGTGGCAGTTTATCATTTCTTCTTTTGCAACATCAGATGATCCAGATTAGTGCCTTAATAATCCTGTCAGGACACTACCCCTTAACATTTTTCTGATCTGCTGCAAATGACACAGGAAGTGAAGTGAAGTGACCCAGCTGATGTGTTTTGTTTGTGCTAAAACCAACAGGAGATATTTCTTTTTGTACTAGTGCAATAGTCACATTTTTTTTCTCAGAAACCAGTACAAAGTGCTGGTGAGTGATGATGTAGAGAGGGGAGTGCTTAAAGAGGAGTAACAATAAGTGGGTCCCACATTTTGGGGAAAAAAGGTTCTCTCACACAGGCATGCACACACACAAGGTATCTTCTCTGGAGTGAGGAAAAAATAATATTATTATTCTGATTATTATTGTTATTAGGGTTAAGGAGGGGAGGGAACTTTTTCTGTTTAGTTGGGTGGTTGTGATTTTAAACCCTAAGCATAATACCTACAGGAAATACCTAAAATATCCCTGACATCTGATTTGATCCAACTTAGGACCTAGTGCGATTTTACACAAATAGCCCCTTATTAAAGTGTCACTCACGCATGCGTATACGTATACTACCTGTATACAAGTACATTACGAGTTCTTTGTGTGTGTGTGTGTGGTGGGGGCCCACCTGAGGATATTTAGGACACTTTCCCATGTGGTTGTGCCCCTATGTTAACATCAAATCTCCATCAAAAAAACAATAAATAAAATCCATTCAACTCTATTTTTTTAAAAAAAATCAACAGATAAATCAGCAGCCATAAGATTTGCACACCTATTTCCATTCAGAAAACAAAAACAAAAACAAAAAACTTGAGATGCCAGAAAAGTCCTTTGGTTTATGGCTTGAGCCTGTACAGTTGAGGAGAATTTAATTTGAGGGGCACCAAGGGCAAAGTTTGAAACTTTTAAGGCAAACAAAAAACAAAAGTGGAATAATTTATATATATATATTTGTTTTTTTTACAGGGACAGCCTGACCTACTCTTTTTCTACTGCTACTGCTACTGCCCTTCTCTCTCCCATTTGGTATTACACAAAATTTGGGGCTTTGACTAAAAGTCTTGAGCTAAAAAAGCTTTCATTTTTTAGAGCTTTTGCTGCTCCTCCCTTCTCTTCTCCCTCGAAAGAAAATAAAAATTCGGGGGCAGGAAAAAAAAATTGCAAATTTTTTTTGCGGGCCGACGAGCTGATCCGCATGGGTGCGCGCTGAATCGACGAATCCCCCCCCCCCCCCCACCGCCTCTTTCTTGGCTCTCGATCGAGGTGTTTCTCGCCGCCGGCCGTGGCGGCGAGCGGCAGATCTGGGGGCTTGGGGCTTGGGGCCGGCTAGGGTTTGAGCTTGAAGCTTTCCTTTCTTGGAGAAGCTCTCCGATCTCGTCTCGTCTCCTCGCGAGCTGCGCCGATCTTCCGTCTCGCGAAGCTGGGGGGCATCCTGGTGAGCATCCTGTCACTTTTTTTTTTTGGTCTCGAATTTGCTCGCGTTAACCCTAGCTTCTCTTGTTCTTGTTCTTCTAGATCTGGAGGTGTTTTCTCTTAATTTTGCCTTAACCTTTTAATACAAGTAGTACTACAGTTTTGTTTTGTGGGATCCCCAAAAAGTTTGGGGGTTCAACTACAAAGTTTTTATATCCGCCCCTGATTTGATTTGTGTATGTGTGTGTGTGTGTGTGTGTTTTTCTTTTTTTTTTTTTGATTTTGTTTACATGCTGTTGGGTCTCACAAACTCAGCTTCAGTGAGCTGATTCTTGATTTTTCCTCTTCATTTCCACCTTAGATTTCTGACCATTTCCTGCTTACCTGCAGATCAAATCAGCTGAAGTATCGTAATTGTTCGAGTTAGATGAAGAGTATTGCAGCGCATTGAGCACCTGTTCAATTCCCTGGGCTCGCTGTTCTTTTTTTGTTTTTTCTGCACTAGTCGTCAGTCTGTCTTGCTGCTGTGTTTGCCAGTCAGTCCAAGGGTGGAGTTGAGATGACGTGGACTACAATATGGATGAGGCTATCAAAGCGAGAGGCGTCGCGGAGAGCAGGTTCCACTCGCGCGACATCAGGGGCGCGCGCAAGTACGCGATCAAGGCGCAGAACCTCTGCCCGTCCCTCGAGGGGATATCCCAGATGGTGTCGACGCTCGAGGTTCATCTCGCCGCGGAGTCCAAGATCGACGGAGAGAGCGACTGGTACCGGATCTTGTCTCTGACCGCCTTTGCGGACGAAGAGGAAGTGAAGAAGCAGTACAGGAAGCTGGCTCTCCAGCTGCACCCCGACAAGAACAAGTCCGTTGGCGCGGAGGAGGCCTTTAAGCTTATCTCCGAGGCGTGGAGTGTGCTGTCTGATAATAGCAAGAAGGTGTTATATGATCAGAAGAGGAAGGATCATTCTGTTGTCAATGTAACCAATGGCATGTATACTTATGATAAGAAGGCAAACAAGAGAGCTCGAAAGAATGCGGCTGCTGCAGCAGCGGCAGCAGCAGCTGCAGCCGCCGCTGCTGAGGCTACTACACGTCCTGCGGGGGTTGATACTTTCTGGACGTCCTGCAATCGCTGCCGGATGCAGTATGAGTACTTGAGAATTTATCTTAACCATAATCTTCTGTGTCCAAACTGCCATCATGCATTCTTGGCAGTAGAGACTGGATTTCCTTGCAACGGGAGCAGTTCTTCATTCTCATGGTCAACCAAACAGCAGCCGCAGAATAACAATTCCACCAAGCATTCATATGGCTCGACAAGCAGGACTTCTAGCATTCCGGGGACAGGGCATGGGGGTTACCAGCAAGATGGTACTTATGATTCCTACAACAACCAAAGCTTCCAATGGAATCAGTACTCCAAGACAACACCTGCAGCTGGTACAAATGCATACGGTACCCAGGCCTTGGAGAAACCGAAAAGGAAACATGAAGAGAGCTACAGTTACAACTATTCTGCTACTGGCAATTCATATGGCCATGAGAGAACTAATTCAAGGCGTGGCCGGTTTTCAAAGAGGAGAAGGCATAGTAATGATGGTTACACTACTATGGATTTTGGTGGAGATAACAGAGAAACTGTAGCTGCCAGCACAGAAACAACTGCTTTCACTGACGTGGCAGTGGCACAAGTCAATGGCACTTCAGGGGAAAAGTTGAGATCTGCAGTGAGTGGAAGAAGAGCAAACGTTTTGAGAGAGATTTCTCAGATTGATACACGGGCTCTACTTATTGAGAAAGCCAAGGCTGCCATCCAGGAAAAATTACAGGAGTGGAACATCACCTCATCGTCACGGCTTGCAGAGAGAGGAAAATCGCAAGGAAAGGTATATCCCAGTGATAACAACATAAAGCAGAATGGGGGCCTCTCTGACAAACATGTCAAAGGGCTCAAGCAATGCAGCTCAAGAAGTGTTGATACCCAAGCACCTACGGTTGATGAAAAGAACCCGGAACAGAGGCGTGTTCCGGTGTCAATTGATGTCCCAGATCCTGACTTTCATGATTTTGACAAGGATCGCACAGAGCGTGCTTTTGATAGTGATCAAGTATGGGCTACATATGATAGTGAGGATGGTATGCCTCGTCTGTATGCAATGGTTCAGAAAGTTCTTTCAATGAGACCTTTCAGAATCCGCATGAGTTTCCTCAACTCCAAGTCCAACAGTGAACTGGCACCAATAAGCTGGGTTGCCTCTGGTTTTCAGAAGACATGTGGTGATTTCAGGGTTGGGAGATACCAGATTTCTGAAACAGTCAACATATTTTCGCACAAAGTCAGCTGGACTAAAGGCCCCCGTGGGATTATCAGGATCGTTCCTCAGAAAGGTGATACATGGGCTTTATACCGAAACTGGTCTCCTGACTGGAATGAGTTAACACCTGATGATGTGATATACAAGTATGAGATAGTAGAAATTATTGATGATTTCACTGATGAGCAAGGGCTGACAGTCATCCCATTGCTGAAGGTTGCTGGTTTCAAAGCTGTGTTCCATAGGCATATGGATCCGAAAGAGGCCAGGAGGATACCAAAGGAAGAGCTTTTCCGATTCTCACATCGGGTTCCTTCTCGCCTGCTGACTGGGGAAGAAGGCAACAATGCCCCAAAAGGTTGCCACGAGCTGGACCCTGCAGCAACTCCAGTGGACCTTCTTAAGGTCATTACAGAAGTTACGGAAGATACAGCAACACAACCTGCTAAGTAGAAGAGGGCAACTATGAACACTGAAGATAGCTTGGATGTCTCAACTGTCAAATGCACTTCACTGAACTCAACATTTGTTGGTCACTTAAGTTCTAGTATGTCATCTTATTTTTGGCTGATGACTTGGACAACTCTACCAGGGCAAGCAGCTTATGTCGCAGAATTCTGACATAATTCTTAGGCATTTTCTAACATTTTGGTTTTACTGCAATACGGATATCTTCCTGAGAGTAAAAGACTATTTGGAGGCCAGTTTTGGCAATTGACGAGGCGACCAAGTGGTGCTTGCTGAGGCTATTAGTCAACGGAAGCTAAGAAGCCTCATGAATCGCTGAAGGTGCTACTTGTTTGTCACTCTTTAAGGTACGGCGCTCTGCATCCACAGCTGAATTTGAGGGGAGAACCACTAGGCTTCCCCATGTACCCGAGTTTGTGTACTGGTTTACTTATTAAGATGTTGTACTTCCTTTAATCTATAGTAATTCATCCCTATAATGTTGAACGTGATGATTCGAAATTCTAGTTAAATTCTGAGGACCAGTTCGAAATTTTTAATATCATTATATTTTAGTAGATTTTTTTTTCTATTTTACATTCTTCTTTTGTTGCTTGATCTGATCGAAAATATGGACATGAAATCATTATGCTGATGGATGGTGTATCAAAGTATAAACTCGTAATATTCTGTGGTGCTGTCAGTGTATGATGTTTTATTTCTATTATCTAGGGATTACTATGTTCATGCTGTTATTACTCTTCTTGAATTAATGGTAATAGCCAAGTTTCGTAGATCCTTGCAAAAAACAATATGTAAATCAATTCAGAAGAAATAATGTGAATGATTTCAACTTGCTTCCTGTGCTCAGTTAACTAATTTATATGCAACTGTGCCAGCTTTCACTGTTTATCTTTTTATTTTACTGATTGAAGCATGTGCATGCCAATTATTTTTAATGAAAAAAGTGGAGGATCATGCTATGCACGCAGTACATAGTTTGCAAGAGCTTTTGTCCAACAAATATCTGGATAGATGTTGTAATAGGGATTACTGGCCACTCACTGTATGCCCTAGCCTATTATTAAGAGAAAAAAAAGGGCTTGAAAAGACATGTATGAGCACCAAAGATGAGACACCAATAATGGATGCAAAAGCTTTCAAAGGGTCACAAATAATTAAACCACACAGGCAGTATGAAGTGGATGTATTGATGAATAATGATGAGAAAGAAATACTAATTCAGAGAGATTAGATTGGGAGCAACAGACTTGCTGATGGAAACACAAATCTTATCCATATCATCCACTGAAGATCGAGTCCTCGAGACAGTCAGAAAGTTGGATTGTTTTGAAGCTAAAATGGCCGGTTACATCCAAACGGTTGCAGATAAATCTCTGTCAGAGTGGAAAGCACTCTGCTCTGCTATGCTCTCTCCAGACAGAATACATCAGGCACAAGGTTGAACCAGACATCCCTGGCCACTCAGGTCGGCAACCTGAAAGTGAAAGATGAAGTACTACATAGTAGTTGATTTGGGTTTGAGTAGGGTAGTGATGTCAACTGTTGTTTAGCATTGCTGTTGATCGTAGTATTTTTCTTGTTCCAACCTGCATCGTTTTGAGAAACTGCTCATTTTCGAAAAAAAGAACAATCTGAGAACAGAAGTTCGTACTCCAGCAGATGACAGGAATGGATAAACGCAAAGCACCATCGTAGTTCTAAAAGATTTCTACTCTTTAATTTGTTGCTGCATTGTACTGTTCATGCACATATCCAGACAACTTTATAATGCCTGCTGATGAGAAAATTTTGCTAGGAAACGAATCGTTAGAAAACTGGTAATTAGCCTCTATGATGCACAAAATGGCCGAACTTCTTGGGCCTATATAGCCATAGTGGATGATCACCATTCACAATCCACATGGGGAACGCTGGCTGCCAATATCAGCATCCAGCGGTCCAGCCATGCAGAAAGCCGAATCAGGAGTCAGGAGAAAACAGTCAAAATGCAACTGGAGATCTTGGCCGGAAGTTCTTTGCAAAGCTGATACAGTTACATTAAAGAAGTTTCTGATAAGTCTAGCAATATGCAATACATTTTCCCACCTCAAAACAGCAGGTACGAGCATGGGTCAGAGAGAGATCACAACCAATCAGCTTAACGATTTTGAAGTTAAAAAGAGTCGACTCTGTTCCACTCGATCTATGCGTCATCCGTAAGGGTCCTCTTCGAAGTGCTGATGTATAGAACTGCATTCAGAGAACGAGCATGAAAATCAGAATAGACGGTTGAGGCAGATAATATGATTAAATTCTACAAATATCACAGGCAGGCAAACCAGACAGGGAAAACTGGGGTTTTAACTTTAAGTCCAGGACATACCATTGTTGCCTCTTATGAAGGCATCACCATACTTGTTCTTGAGTTGGCCATTCACATACTCTTCCGTTTGCTCCATTGCAATGTTCATATACCCATCCAGGCAAGCCAAAATACCTGATTATCAGGAAAAATAATGGTCAGAAGAAAATTGGTAATATTCGTACATAACTTACAAAAAGAACTAAGACATTGTCCGTAACTCCGTATCACTTGTCAAGTCATACTATTTTCCTTTCTGAGCACAGCATTTGATAATTAGAAACATACAATGATTGTGTGCATGAGTTACCATCAAATGAACACAACCAAGCTAAGCTAACCACTAGGATGGAGAGAATAAAATGAGTTCAACGTAAAATAGAGTGCCAACATGAGCTTGTCACGAGCAAGGAGATTGGAAGGAGGATTACGGCGGAGGGAGTATTTGAAGGCTGTAACAGGACGCGGTCCTGGACCTCGTCGGCGCGGAGGAGCCGTGTTCGGCACCGCACCGGCGAGGCAGGAATAGGTCTGCAGATTAATCTCACGTAATTGATTGATTCCAAAACCAAACTGTCTTACAGATTATATAGCAATTCTAAAGGATAGACTCCTAACAACTTACGGAATAAGAAACTAACAAACTATCTAACAAACTCTGAACCGAATCAAAACAGAAGTAAAAAACTATTCCTCGTCACGCCTTGCCGTCGCCCGCCTGTTGCTGCGACGCTTGTATTGCAATCCCCACATGACATCTCTCCCCCCTGGAGAAGCAGCTCGTCCTCGAGCTGAAAATCCGGATGAAGAGTGCGAAATTCATCCAAAGGCATCCATGAAGCTTCGGCAGAAGGCTTATCCTTCCACTGAACAAGAACTTGACGAACTCCACGAGCCAATCGACTCTGCGTAACTGCAGCAGGCTGCAAACACACTTGGCCGTGTTGAATGGGCGGTAACGGTGGAACAGAATCCGGCGGAGTTCCACAAAATGGCTTCAACAACCTCACGTGAAACACATCATGCAAGCGAGCACCCGGAGGAAGCTGAAGACGATATGCCACAGAACCAATCCGCTCGGCAACCCTGTACAGCCCGTAAAATTTAGGCCCCAACTTACCACGGCCGGTGACCCCGAGCGAAGCAATCGGGCGATGGAGCAAACGAAGCCACAACCAGTCGCCCACACTGAATTCCAATGCCCGATGCTTGCCATCATACGCCGACTTGTGTGTCTGCTGCGCTTGCTCCAGGCGATCACGAATCTCACGCAAAAATTCATCTCGATCTTGCATCGCCTGTTGGACTGCCAGCAGACGAGTGGATCCCGGTTCATAGGCGCGCAGCGTAGGCGGCTCACGGCCATAAACCACACGGAACGGCGACGTGCGAAGAGATGACTGGTAGGACGTGTTGTAGCAGTACTCTGCCCATGGAAGCCACCGTAGCCAGTGCCGCGGCCGATCGCCGGTAAGACAACGGAGATACATCGCAATGATCTTGTTCGTCACCTCGGACTGACCGTCAGACTGAGGATGAAATGCCGACGACAAGTTCAGTCGTACTCCGGCCAATCTGAACAACTCCCGCCAGAAAGTGCTGGTGAAGACCGGATCTCGATCACTGACAATAGAAGCTGGAACACCATGCAGACGAACAATTTCCGAGAAGAAGGCCGCTGCCACCGAGGTTGCCGTGTAGGGATGAGCCATTGGTATAAAGTGGGCAAACTTGGAGAAACGGTCCACCACCGTTAAGATGACCGTCTTGCCATGGACGCGTGGCAGACCCTCCACAAAATCCATGGCGATGTCAGCCCACACCGCCGATGGCACCGGCAAGGATTGCAAGAGGCCGGCCGGTTGTAGGTGCTCCGTCTTGTTTTGCTGACACGTGAAACAGGCTCGGGCATGCTCTTGTACCACCGCCCTGTCCCGTGCGAGGTGGAAGTCAGCTCGGAGGCGAGAGAGCGTATTCTGCGTGCCCTCGTGCCCCAGGCCGTGTGCCAGTTCGAGGATGGCCGGCAAGGATGGTGATGATGCAGACACAAAGATACGGCCTTTGAACGTGATGAGGCCGTCCGTGAACGCCCAGGCCGGCGGTTTTGACCCCTTGGCAATGTCATCCCGAATGGCAGTCAGCTCGGGCGACGTGAGCACCTCGTGCCGCAGCTCATCAAACAGAGAGAACTGAGGGGCTGACAAGGCGAGAGCTTCAGCCAGGTGTTCGTCCCTTCTGGAGAGGGCGTCTGCCACCACGTTTGTTGTTCCCGGCTTGTACTCAACTGCAAAGTCGAAGCCGAGTAGCTTGCTTGCCCATTGGTGCTATGGAACGGTGGATAGACGTTGGTCCAGAAGGAAGCGCAGACTGTAATGGTCGGTGCGGATGAGGAACCGGCACCCCCATAAGTATGGCCGCCAATGGCGAACTGCTTGGACAAGTCCAATCAGTTCACGCTCATAGGCGGCGAGCTTAGCGTGGCGTGGCGCTATCGGCTTGCTGAAGAACGCCACCGGTCCGGAGCCTTGATGAAGAACGGCGCCGAAGCCAGAGGCATTTTAATTTATCTACTATGATATTTTAGTGTACACAGCAGAAGATGAAAAGAATAAGCGATGTTCATCAAATAACAATAAGACACAACTTTTATGTATTATTCCTAACTTATGCAGAGTATCCATCAGAGAAACAGAATGTGATGCATTCTTGCAGTATGACTGTGCAAAAGATATGGAGTAACAATGTATGTTGACATGCAAAGAGTTATCACACAGACTATTGTGAGGCAAGGAAAAAGTTGGATAAATAAGGTATTTCATCTCTGTTTTAAATATCGACTATTAAATTCACGTGAACGAATAAATGTTACAGTACTGCAGTCTAATGACAGATAATGCTTCTTTATTAAAAACAAGGACTTGACAGCTTTGCATAAATGCCATCAACAAATACAAACACTCCATGCTACACCCAGATATAGTCTACTGTCAAAGAACTGAATGAAGAAATGCAACCTGGTGACTGATCAAAGATAACACACTGCTTCCAAAAGTGCACACCATTTGACAATGTCTAAAGCTGTGCTCTCCTTTGTAGCAACCATTATTACAGTTATATTGCAACAGTGAATTGGAAAATTTTCATAAAATTGAGATATCCGATATATTTGATCATAAGTCCATTGTTAATCTAATAAATAAGATTGCAATGAAATTCTGGTACATCACTTTGTAAAATGAAAATTCATGGTTCCACGTGTCAATGTTAAATGGGCTAAAAAGAACAAGGATATACTCCACTACTCTATTTCATCAATTTGAGGTGTCCATGCTTTTTGCATATGTATGGGGCTTGCAAAACAATGGGAATTGGACAGGATGATAAGAAGATTAATCTCCCTTCTACCACAAGTTTGGGCCGCATTTGGAGTGTGGGAAACAACTACCTGCCAAATTTCTACATTCTAAACATATCCTTATGGTATACATCGAAAGCTTATTGATTGTTTATTTAAATAAAATAGGATGAGAGTGGAAATTCTTGCTATGAACAATGCTTGACATACTAAGCAGCAGGATGAAACATATATGGAGACTATGCCCACGTGAGGACTTAGTTACCAGCCATCTATGTAACACATTGTCAGCTAAATAGATGGTTGGGATTAGCTCCTCACATGTGGATGGTCCCCACAGAAGTGATCCTGCCTATGGCTCCATGAACGTTTAGTGTAACAGAATTACACATTTGACATTTCAAGTAGTATACGGAGTATGTAGTAAAACAAATTTGTGCAGTCAGACATTTAAGTATGAGCAAAAGTCACTACACAACTTAAAACTTCACAATTCGCGTGCTAACTATATGCATTTTCTGAGTGAAATTCCAGTTCTTTATGGCATCCTTCATCACTCTCCCCCTTCTTATCTGCTCATCCCTAACGCAAGCCGATGAATGACCAGCTATTAGCCTAGTAATCCCAATTGGTGTTTGAGCCTGAGCGCGGCAACTAGAAGAATGCACTTGGTGACACAACGAGAAAAGGAAGGCCAAGATTGCCACTGTTAACATCTGCTGAAGTGGTAGATTGGGTAAGGGTGACTGAAACTGGGGAAGCTTTCGTGGGGTTAAGTGAGCTGACAGAATTTTTTAAACTTGGAATCTCTCAGCGGCATAATACCAATTTTCTCTTCATATAAACCTTGCGCAATTAAAATGTGCTTCGAAAAATATCGTTGCCCAATTCGACATGTCTGCGACTCAGAGATGTTGGGGGAGACCTAAATCGAAGCACTGAGGGCTGAAGGCTTTGAAGCACAAAAGAAGCAACGATTCGCATCGGAATCATGCTCTTGTGTTTCCGAAGACCATAGTTGACACTAAAATCTCTTAAACATCGAATAAGTAGACGATATTTTTAGAACAAGAAGGCCATGGTTGGCACATTAAATCTCTAATAAATTTTCTTCTCTTTTTTATGATGGGGATCTAGTAATGAGTCACAATTTAGCGCACCTAAAACTCCCCAAAAGTGGGGGAAACTAACCAGAAAGCCTCTAAGTTTCAGGAGACAGATTATAGTATATCTGAGAGGGAGTAAACGCGGGTGCTTAGGGTTCTTCTGGTTTAGCGGTGTAGACTGTAGAGGGGAGAGAGACCCTCACCTCGGTAGTCGACGCCGGAGTTGAGCTTGACGACGACGGGGCGTCCCCTGATCGACTTGAGGAAGTCCGAGGGCGTCTTCACCGCCCCTCCGCCGCCGCCGCCGGACTTGTCCGCGCCGCCGCCGGTGCTCATCTCTCTCGCTGTCGCCGCGTGCGTGTAGAGTTGGGGTTGGGTGAGAAAGAGAGAGGGACGCCGCAAGGAGGGAGGGGTTTGCTTTGGTTAGGTTTTGTTGCTTTGGGCCTCTCCTTGCCTTTCAGTGATGGGCCGGGCCTTGGGGGCTGGGTTTCTCGCTCGTTTGCTCCCTTCATCTGATCCTGACCGTTTGCTTGCGCCCGATCCAACGGTTGAGATGTGCTCCTATTATAAAGACTTTCACCGTGATATATTATACATGCTCCCTCCGTACTTGTAAAGGAAGTTGTTTAGGACAATGTTTAAGTCAAACCTTGGGAATATAAATCATGATAACTCTCAAGTTGTTGAGTTTGAAAATATAAATTTTATATAAATAGATTTGTCTTGAAAAATACTTTCATAAAAGTACACATATATCACTTTTCAATAAATATTTTTATAGAAACAAGAAGTTAAAGTTGTGTCTTGGAGATCGTGTCGCTATCCAAAACGACTTCTTTTACGAGTACAGAGGGAGTACAAGGTAAAATTTGCTACAGGATACTCAAAGTTTGTGTAATTTGCTGGCAGACATAAAAAAACCATGTCACAGCTGAAAGACGCTCTTAAAAACTGGTAATTTGCTGGATGACACTTTCGGCTTAATTGGAGAGAGAAATTCTTCAAAAAGACAAGAATGGTCAAAAGCTTTTGAGCTGAGACTAGAGCGAAGATAAAATATAATGTATACTAGTGATGTACTTGGGGTGATAGCAAATTTAAAGTTGCATAATTTTGTAATTTTTACTTTAAAATCATGTTTGAAGCATTTGGTCTGAGGGGCAATCTAGTCTTTCTTAAGAATTTATCAATCCAATTGACTCGAAAGTGCCCTCTAGCAAATTATTAATTTTTTAGGATGTTTTTCTACCATGACACGTTTTTTCAATGTCTTTCAGTAAATTACACAAAATTTAGGTGTTCTATAGCAAAATTTGTCTACATCCAAACTAGTATGACTAGCACCCATACAAAGTTATCTAATTTTTTTACACATATTTTTATTCAAATTTAGTTAAATGGTTGTCTCAATGTAAAAGTCAAACATTACCATCATCGGATTTTCAAATTTTAAAAGTCATACTAGCCAATACTCCTTATAGATAGCCATAACGCCCGAGGCCCAACGGCCCGGCCCAAGCACGGTACGACCTGACTGGGGGGTCATGCCCGTGCCGACCCAGCCCGACCGTCGGGCCGTGCCTAGGCTTCCCCACCGGCACGATAGGCCGACACGGCCAGGCCTGATACGAAGTTTAGGGATGCACATTAGACTTATTTTCAATCATATATAAGGCACGACACAAAGAATAGAGAGCAATAGACAGCCCGATTCTTCTTGGGTCGTGCCTAGCCTGTGCCTGGGCCGGGCCGAATGGCCATCTATACTACTTACTTTTTTTCCCTGTACTTTACTTGCTTACATGTCCGCTACGACTTCTATTAATTCTAATTAGAACCTTTAAGCATCGAACTTCAATGTCGGGGACAAGCTCTCGAACATCGAGCTCGAGGCGAATGCGAAGGCTTTGCTGGAGGCGACGCTCATGGAGGCCCACAGGGAGAGGGAGAAGAGTATCCTCAAGGGGAATAGGAACTACCTGCCATCACCAGCCCACTCCAATATCGCTGCTGGCACCATCGACGAGGAGGCATGCAACTCTTTTTTTTATAAATTTGGTTAAACTAAAATAGTTTGATTAGAAAACCTTTAATATGAAACGATGAGAGTATCTTCTATTCATGGCATCAACGAAATGTTCGTGCAGTAGAACAGGGATGAAAGGGAGGAGGATGAGAAAAAATAGACCGTGGTGGGTAATTTTTGTCATATGATTTATAAACACGATAGATTAATATCTATTAATATGTATTATATCACTCTATAAAGATAGATTAATATGTATTATATCACTCTATAAAGATGTAAATTAAAATTTAACTTACGCAAGTTGTAGAAAAAAAACAACAAATTCGACATCGTAGAATCAACGTAGCAGTATGACGGGGTTTTGTACAATTTTAACCAACTCAAACAAACTTTAATGTCCAAGCGATTCAAATTCGAAGAGGAAATTTATGAGATTTACTTCCAATGCTGCAGTTCTGCGAATACAGTTAAAATTGATTTGAAAAGAATCGCTTGCTACTTTATACTCTACTGTACCATGTACCAATTTGCACGGCAGAATTCGAGACGATAAATCATCGTACTACATATAGGTATAAAGAATATCATAAGACGCACAGTCTTGTTGAAAGTAAACCATCTCCAACGCATCTGTCTGATCAATGATCATTGTGCAAGCATAAACCATTTGCCAATCTGATTTATTGATATTTAGGAGTTAGGACCAACACAACACATTGGCCTAAATTACCAGCTTTTTATCCAAGATAATAACTACAAGAGCACATATCAGGGCAAAAGTACTAAAATCAAAGTCTCTTAACGGCTCACATCTTTGAACATAATTAAGACAAATCGTAAGCTAGGTGTTCGTCCCAAATCAGGATCATGTCCGGCGACCACCACCGTCGACGATAATGTCCTTGAAAGCGCCATTGCTGGGGATCATCGGCTGCACGTGCTCCTGGTGAGGCACGACGACGTCCAGCAAGTACGGCCCCGGCGCCGCCATCATCTCCTCGACGGCGGCGCGGACCTCGCCCTTCCTCGTCACGCGGGCCGCCGGGATGCCGAAGCCTCCGGCGATCGCCACGAAGTCCGGGTACACCTCGCCGCCGCCGTTCGCCGCCGGATTGCCGAGGTAGGTGTGCGCCCGGTTGGCGTCGTAGAACCTGTCCTCCCACTGCACCACCATGCCCAGGTGCTGGTTGTTGAGCACCATCACCTTCACCGGCAGGTTCTCGACGCGGACCATGGCGAGCTCCTGGATGTTCATCAGGAGGCTGCCGTCGCCGTCGATGTCGACCACGGTGGCGCCCGGGTTGGCCACCGCGGCGCCGGCGGCGGCCGGCAGGCCGAAGCCCATGGCGCCCAGCCCGGCGGACGAGAGCCACTGCCTGGGCCTCCTGAAGGTGTAGTGCTGCGTCGCCCACATCTGGTGCTGCCCGACGCCCGTGGCGACGATGGCTTCCCCGTTGGTCACCTCGTCGAGCACCTGGATGGCGTACTGCGGCGGGATCTCCTCGCCGAACGTTCTGTAGCCCAGTGGGAACTCGGCCTTCTTCTTCTCCAGCTCCGACCGCCACGCGCTGAAATCGAGGTTCTTGCGCTGTTGTTGTTCCAGCGTGGCGTTCATGCCCTGCAGGGCGAGCTTGACGTCGGCGCAGATGGAGACGTGCGGCTGCTTGTTCTTCCCGAGCTCCGACGGGTCGATGTCGACGTGCACGATCTTGGCCCTGCTCGCGAACGCCTCGACTTTGCCGGTGACGCGGTCGTCGAAGCGCACGCCGAGCGCGAGGAGGAGGTCGGCGTTGTCGACGGCGTAGTTGGCGTACACAGTGCCATGCATCCCGAGCATCCGCAGCGAGAGCGGGTCGTCGCTGGGGAAGTTCCCGATGCCCATGAGCGTGGTCGTCACCGGGATGCCCGTCAGCTCCACGAAGCGCCGCAGCTCGTCGCCGGACGCGGAGCACCCGCCGCCGACGTAGAGGACGGGTCTCTCGGCGTCGCCGACGAGGCGGATGACTTCGTCGAGCAGGTTGGCGGACGGCGGCTTCGGCAGCCGGGAGATGTATCCCGGCAGGCGCATCGGCGCGTCCCAGGATGGCACGGCCATCTGCTGCTGGATGTCCTTGGGGATGTCGACGAGCACCGGGCCGGGGCGACCGGTGGTGGCGAGGAAGAAGGCCTCGTTGATGACACGGGGGATGTCGTCGACGTCGAGGACTAGGTAGTTGTGCTTGGTGATGGAGCGGGTGAGCTCGACGATGGGCGTCTCCTGGAACGCGTCGGTGCCGATCATGCGGCGCGGGACCTGCCCCGTGATGGCGACGAGCGGGACGGAGTCGAGGTGGGCGTCGGCGAGCGCGGACACGAGGTTGGTGGCGCCCGGGCCGGAGGTGGCGACGCAGACGCCAGGCCGCCCCGACGAGCGCGCGTACCCGGACAGCCGCGAAGGCCTCCCCCTGCTCGTGGCGGAGCAGGTGGTTGCGGATGGCCGGCGACCGCGTCAGCGCCTGGTGGATCTCCATCGACGCGCCGCCCGGGTACCCGAACACGTCGCGGACGCCGCACCGCCCCAGCGCCTCCACGAGGATGTCCGCGCCCTTCCGCCGCTCCGTCGGCCCCCACCTCCGTTGTAGCGGCTCGGCGGCCTGAGGCGGCTGTGGCGGCGGCGGCTGGGAGCGCGTGGTGGTCGTGGTCGTGGTCGTGGCAGGGCGGGTCGACACCGACACCGTCGAGCACCCCACGCGCGTCGCGTGGTGGCGGAGGCGGAGGCGGTGGACGGGGGCGCGAGGCGGCCGGATGCCGCGCGGTTCGGGCGCGGCCGTAGCGGCGGCGGCGGCGGCGGCGAGGGAGGCGGGTGTCGTGGCCATGGCGGCGTCGCGTTCGCGTCGCGTCGCAGCGTGCGAGAGGGGGACAAGGAGGATGATGGTGATGACACTGGGCGGGCGCGGCGGCTGGGAAGTGACGTGTATTTGGGCACGGGAGATCGATCCCTGACGTAGTGGGGGTAGAGTGTGCGCGGGACCCACTCGCAGTGACACGGGGTCAAATGTGGGGACACGTAGACGCGCGCGTGGAGCACATGGTACGGTGAGAAAACCCGCGGGTTATTTTTGCCTTTTGTCGCGCACTGCCGCGGCTTGGAGTTTTTTTTTTTTCCAAAAGGTGCAACACAAGTACAACTATTCTCTAATAAGAAGGCACACATATAAAACTTATCCCGATTAGCATCTCCAAAACCGCATCGGTATATTTTAAGATTTACAAAGTTAGTATAGATATTCTAGATATATCATCTATATCACAAAGTAATTAGTCGTAAATATAAATACACGTGTCAAAGTTTAAAATTTAAATCCAAACAAATATATTTTATCACAAAATCTAACAGTTAAAATACGCTTACTTAATTTCATGTCGTGGCTTGGAGTTTTTTTTTTTTTTTTTTGAAGACAGTGGCTTGGAGTTGGAGGGGTGGCCTCATCGGAGGGGCCAAGGGGCGCGTCTGCTTTAATTTTTCTTAGTATCGCATGTATCTCGAGAGATTGAAAGGCATTATCTGCACTTGCTAATAAACCGCTGCCGGACCACGGTTAATCATTATTTTTTATGACCTTAAACTATTGCCCAAGAATAACTTAACACAAGACGGAGCACTAGTACTGTGTACAGGGGAGGAGCTGTTAGCTAGTGTCAGACCATCACTCACCCTAAATAAAAATTAAGACTTCCGAGGATGACTTGGTACTACACTATAGTATCATGTGGAATGTGTAAGTGCCTGATTGGTTGTCATCCAGGAGCAAAAATAATTAACTTGACTAGACCTTGTTTGTGGTTGATATATTATACTGAGACCACGTTTGCCTTGGGTGGTGCATGGGCTCCAGCAAAAATGCAGTTGCAATGTTATTCTATTTGCAGCAGGGCTCATTTTCTTGTCATTACACAACCACAGATCTATCACAGTTGGTTCATAACGGGCATTTGGGTTTGCAGGTTCCGCCTACCGGTCTAGGCCTATTCTGATGTTTTTTTTTTTAAAGTAGTATTGTCTTCACGTGAATCAGTGCTAATTAATTAAGTATTGCACCACCTCACTGTGTCTTATTTGCTTACATCTTATTTACCTGTGTTCATTCGGTGAAACTTTATGATGGTTGACAGGGACGGATGGAAGAGGATTAGGATGGGTGGCTGTGTTATTACGTCAAGAGATTATATAAGGGAATTCTTAATTTTATATCGACTGGAATTGTCAGAAATTTCAGTCCCCTTTCAACCTTGCGCTGCAAATGAAGAGGGAGAAGGGATGGAGAAGAGAGGAACATGACTCACCGGTGATAGATCCCTGATGGTAGTGGCAGCGACCACATACCCGAGGGTCCTCTTCTCCAGTGACGGTGATGATGAGATTAGAGTTTAGGGTTTGGGATTGGGTGGGGGTGGGAGGGGGCTATGGAAGGGGGAAGAGGGAGGATCCCTGTGGCTTAGAGGATTGATCTTGGCCTTGGCTGCCGCAAGTGGACAGCGAGCTATAGGGGTGCACTGAAGCCGTGGGGTGTAGGGATGGCAACGGGACGGGGCGGGGCAGGTTGGCTGGACGGGCCCGCCCCCGACCCTCGACTCTTCACCCGCCCCGGCCCCGAGTTGCATTCGGGTGGAATAATCCCGCCCTAACCCTACAGGGGCCGCAGTAAGTAGCACTCTATCATTGAGCCAAAGAAAGCAAGACAATATGATGTTAGCAAGGAAATATTGACATACTATACATGTGACACATGGTCATAAATAGCATATCAAAATCAGAAAACAAAAAAAATTATCTCCTCCAGATAGGATGCATTAGTCATCCACCAAAATCATTGTCTATTAGGATGCCATCAGATCCGGAAATTAGCGATGAAACGCCCACAAGAAATATAGATCAAGGAAACTCCTCACGAGTCTCTGAATCCTTCTCTCGACGTGCGTCAAGTGCGTCACACTGTCTCAGCCCTCCGCTTCTCGCTTGATGCCGCCGCGCCTCTGCTCCTCTTCGGTCGCCGCCTCTTCGGTGACCGCCGCGCCTTCTTTTGCCTGCCGCCGCATGTGTGCCGCCACGACGCAACGGCCTTGCCCGCCGCACTTGCCCGGCCTCTGCGCCGCTGAAGAGAGGGAAAAGAGGGACGGCACGATGAAAAGGCGCCGGAGGGGAGTGTACAACGGAGAGCCGGAGAGGGTGACCAGCCGACGAGATCTGGCCGCCTGCCGCCAGAGTCTCATGTGTCAGGGTGTGTCTGTGTGTGGCTGTGTGCAAGCCGTCGGCGCGATGGAAGGGTTAGGGAAGGGAGCCGAGTCAAGGTACTAGGGTTAGGTCTGCTGGTTTACTAGGAGATGGGCGTTTTGGGCCTCCGATGGGCTATGATTTAAGAGGTAATATACCCCACGGGGCACGGGGTCACCCGCGGGTGGATTTTTCCCCGTCCCCTCACCCGAAAAAATGCGGGCCCCGCCCCGACGGACCGCGGGGCAGAAATGCCACCCTCCCGCCCTCGTAGGGCGGGTACCCGCAGGGGACCCGGCCCCTGCGGGGGAAATTGCCATCCCTAGTGGGGTGAAGGCTGGCGATGGGCTGGGTTGACGGTGGGGGGTAAGGGAGCCGTGGGGTTAGACGGTAAATAGCAGTGAATCAGGTGGCACGAGCTGTTGAAGATAGGGAAGCGGGCAAACGGGAGAATGGCGCGGCATAGGATTAGGAAAAAGATCCGAAAGTGGAGGTGGCTAGTATGGTGGGTCTCGCCGGTGTCGTTGATGTCCTCCAGCCAACCAACAAGGTTGGGCGAGGGCAGGATCGGAGGGCATTGCGGGCGCCGGGCGAGCAAGTGCATTGAGCGCCTTGTCCATGTGCGAGCATGCTTGGGAGGGAAAAAAAGGGAAGGGGAGGATAAGGTAACTGTTCAACATCAATATAATCTTGATGTAATATTTTTTTCCTTTAGAAACACCTCGATGTGATCTTGACCATCCAAAAAGTTGACTGAAATTTTAGTTATTTTGGATCACCTGAAACTACAAAGAGGCCAGCATCTGCTCTTAAACATAGACCTTACCCAAGTAAATCATCAAATAAATTTGTGCTTAAACATAATTAATGTAACCATCACTTTATAATTCCATATTACTTTTCTCCTAAATAGTTTACCAACCAAATAAGTTCCGCTACGGTCATGCCTCATCAGGATAGGTCGTGCATGTGTGCAATTATAGGAGGGAGGGTGCACACATTATGAGCACCTGCATTAATTTGTAATGTGTTTTAAAAAAGATTAAATAAATATAGAGAATTGCTAATTACGTTGCAAATGTTTTGTTAAAAAAACTTTCAAATATAAATATAACTAATAGGATGGCCCGCGCAATTACGCGACTATCACCTAAATAAAATTGTCTAAATTTGCTAAATAGTCATCATTATTTTAGGATTTTTTGAAAAAAAATCAAATCTCATTAACCAATTTTGTAGTTTTAAAGTTATGAAAACCACCACCCCTTTTACTTGCTTGTTCAATCCACTACGGCTTCTATTCATTCTCCATAGACCTTTAGAAAATTTGACCTTATAAATATTATAGTTCATTGTCTTATAGGGTTCACTTTTCGCAGCTTTTTAAGTTTCCGTGAAACATTATCACCCTGCTCCTTTACAAGTGGAAGGTCTATTTTATATTTTTAGATGCCCCATTAATTATGGTCCAAAATACTAGGTAGACTTTTATAATGAGGTGGAGGAGAGGGAGAGGGAGAGGGAGAGGGAGAGGAGAGAAGAGAAGAAAAGAGAGAGAGGAATAGCACCCCTGGGGCAGCCTCGCGTTCGTCTTCCCTCACCCACAGCCTCATCGTTTGGTATATTTTCTGAATATGCCAAATGGTATATTTGCAAACGAAAATCAATTTGTGAATAAAATTTTATATATGTGTTCTTAGCAATCTAAAAACAAATGCTGAAAAATAAACTTCGATGAAAAAACCCCAAAATCAGCTCCAAATTTAACGTTGAAAATTCAAATTTTGGCTGATAAACATATGAATATGCCAAACGATGAGGCCCCCAATCTCCTCCCAAAGTTCTGGGCGGCGGAGCGGGGTGTACGTCCGCTACCGACCACCTGCGGATGGATCTGCAAATTGCGCAACCGTAGGGAGTTTCTTGGCCGGTAACCGACCAGGGGTGCTAGCTGTGGAAGCAAAGCTTGGTCACCATCGATAACATATCCTTGCAGCTAGTTGCTAAGGCCTGTGAATGTCGTGACTCGTTAATTTTGTACATGTATATAGAGTAATCATTCATGTTGAGCCAGATGAATCGAGTTAGATTTGTATCATCTATCTATACCACCCTTCCAATCCTACAGACTAAATCACCCAGATCAACCCGTACCGTCCATCCGCCATCTGATCTAATCTCATCCATCCGCTATCCTCCTCACTGTGCGCACGATGAGCGATTCCACCAATTCAGAAATGACGCGATGACTATGCCGCACAAATCCCCACCCCCTCCTCCGCCCCCTCGCTCCTCCCCACCGCGATAACTCCGCCCCCGCCTCCTCGCTCCTCCCCCGCTGCCATAGCCCGCCGCCTCCTCGCTCCTCCTCGCCGCCCGCCCCACGAATCCCCGCGCCTCCTAGCTTCTCCTCCGCGCCCGCGAATCCCCGCCGCCTCCTCGCTCCGCGCGCATCCTCCCTCCTCGCGACGGGGCAGCGAGGTCGTCCCCTTCCGCTGCCACCCCCGCTGCCCACGCCGGAGACGAGGTCGTCCCCAGCCACCGCCGGAGCCGTGGTCTTCCCCGGAGCCGACGTCGTCCCCAGTTGCCGCCGGAGCCGAGTTCTTCCCCATCCGCATTGGATCTGAATGCACCACATATCTTCCCCTCTGGAAATTATTATTTTTGGATGAAATTGACGGAATACCAATGGCTATTGCAACAAGGTAATTTGCCCTCAACCTTTAGCTTTTCAAATCAGAATCAGTTTAATTACTTCTTTGTTTCTTTGCATCATTTTCCCCTTGACTGATGCTTGCACTGATGTACTATGTTGTCATGGGGGATGTTCTAGACGTGAGGACTGGCAAGCCATCTCTTCATATATTTCTTGCTGATATGAGAACGTTCGAGGTATTGCCATGTAAGTGCTATTGCCTATAATGTTCTTTAGACTAAACACAATATTATAATTTTACCTAACACAAGTGCATTGCATGTTGTTCGGGTCAATTTGGAACCAGATAATTGATTTGTATTTCAAGCTCCTCCTGCTGTAGCAGCAGTAAAAAAAATGCTCGAATGTGATTGGGCGACACATGTACATATGCTTTTAAGGTATGCGGGATTATCAGAGTTCTGTTGTTGCTTCATGTCACAAAGGAGAGGACCATTTTATTGGTACCATTTATCCATATCATGATGGCCATGGTAAAGTTGATCCGCACATAGTAGCGTAATCAAATCTCATGCTTACTGTCATAAGTTAGTAACTTTAAACATTTTTTTTGTGATTAAATGATTTACAACCCAATCAAAACACCTTGAATTACTTCAAGGCAAATTAGGAATTACATATCTTGGTAAAGAGCTCATATCATTATTTTATTTTGTTTTTAATTAAAACTTTCATTTTTCCTCAGTAAATCATGAAGTTACAAGATTATTATTTTGGTTTTTTCGTCAACGAACAAATCATTCCATGAGAATGTCAATGTATGCCTGTATCATGCTCAAACACCTCGATCTAATTTTCAGATGATGTTAACGATTGATTGCTGCAGGATAGAGGCATACAAAGTGCAGGCAATAATTATGTTTTTAAGATAGCTCAAAAGAATATTTAGTGAAATTTTATCTGGGGTGAATATGCTGGGATTGCGAGTCCTCCATCTTTAATTGTTTCAGGGTAGAGGCATACAAAGTACAGACAATATTTATTTCAGGAGTTCTGTCCTGAAGCTATTGTTTTTTCTGCAGTCCCTTCAGCGACATCTGGAAACCTAGGATCTCACCTACAAAAATAGGTAATTTTTGCCAACTGCTTGACATTAATTGGAATATCCCCTTTGTATATACCAGTGATCAATTTTGGAGCTCCAGACAATGAAACCATGCCTTAATATCCCTGAAAGAGTGCATTAGGTGAATCCAGTGATTATCCTGGAAGTCATGAGCATGGATTCTGATGCTTCCTATTTCTCCTCCGATAATTTCAATTAAAGACGTGTTTTCTCTAGCATTTTGAATATTGCAGTATGCCAATGACTTAGTTACTAATGATGTAGTGCATAAATTTTATGGCAAGTTCTGTTATTTCTTTTCAATTGGAAGTAATTTGCTTGAAAAGTGGTTAAAGGAGAAAATTTCTAATGCACTGTTTGGTTTCTCAGGAATCCAGGAGTTGGAGCCATTCGAACATGCAGCATGTCTCTTGCTAATGTCTTCCTGAGCTTTCAAATCATAAGGCCCTTGCCTCACTGATCAAAATATTCAGGTCACTAGAGGTTCTAATTTGCTTGCAATCCTTATGGTTTCCACTCATCACAGTGATAAGGCACCATATTCTTATGGCCAGTGCTTCTATGTTCTGAGCTTACTGGTATCCATATTTTTAAGCACTCTATTTCTTTGCTCTGGTTTCTTTTTTTGCAACCAGTTTCTGATGGAACATTTCTTATGGCTAGAAATTGTCACGTAATCTTCAATGCGCTCTAGAAATTTCAGATTGAGCTATTTGAATTTTGCTATGTTAATTTGAATAATACAGTATTCCAAAGCGGCAGTGGATCATTATAACCAACTACCACAAACTATTCAATTGCAGAATTTCTGCATTCCAATTTTTGCATTTCTCAATTTAATCATGTATTTTGGTTTGAGTAATTGCAAAGTAAAATTGATTTTGTAATTGTAAAAATGAATGAATTTTCTGGACAACATTTAATGTGATTTTATCAAAACACAATGAACCTTTTAATTTGTCCGTATAGTTCTGTTTTCTTTTATTTTCAAAAGTAAGATCCTCAGTATAAGCTTTTGTTTGTGGATCTCTTAATAATGAATATTGGGGGTCCAATCCTCTCTTGCTCCACCGTTGGACCAGTAGTAGCAGCAGGTTGGAAGCTGGTGAACACGATCTCAGGGAAGGACACAATGGCGGCTTCGTACGATCTCACATATGACAATTCTATCATTGCCTTAGATTTTACCAACCAAAGGTTAGATGCACCTGCTTGGTAACTGTGAATTTAGATGAAATAAATTTGAAGCAGTTCTTCTGATATAAACTGATGTGATTTCCTATCGAGTTATTAAAAATTATATTTGATGAAATATTTTTCCGAGTCCATCATGCATATTAATTCCTTACTGAATGTGTACTCTTTCTTTTGATTTGGCAGATGCAAGGGGTACTCATTCTTTTGATTTTGTCCAGATGGACAGCTCCAGTCCATAACATTCTATCTACACAGTCAACGACTCAGTTAATAATAAAACTGAAAAAATGTTCTCTTTTATTTTTAAATAAGATTTTCACACAACCTGAAAGTAAGATATCAAAGGAGCACTGGCCTGATATAAATGATTTTTTTCTGACGAATGTGGACTACCAATGTAATGCACATGCCTAAGATATTTAAGGTTTTCTTTTTTCTGCAGTACTTAAAGACTTGTATTTTGTAATATTGTAGGTTAAATCTCAACTTCTGATGTATCTCAAGTGTAAATATGGTCATTGTCATATTGCTAATATTTTGGATTTAATCAAATAAATGATGACCATTGCTGCCCCTCACGTGTCTTTTTTTTTTTTGTTCTAAAGGACACTGATGTGTTTGTTCTGGTTTATCATTTTGTAACTGAAGAAATGGTTAGGTAAGCTTGTCTCCTATATAGCTATACTGATTGGTCTATGGAGCAATTATGCACTGATGTGTTTTGGTTTATATTATATCATGCAAAATTTGTATTTTTTATGCAAACAACTATGTATCGTATGATACATGTAGCTGAGAACGTGCATTGCACGTGCACGATTACTAGTACTAATATAAAAAGGAGTTCACCCCTAGCAATCCTACTGGTGAAATCAACCACTCTCATCTCATCCGTCCATCTGACATCTCATTTAATCTGAGCCGTCCGCTGTACACCGTAGATCTATCTCCACCAGCGATTTCGCCCCCCACGCGGTGACTGTGACGCGCAAATCCCCGGGGCCGCCTGCATCCTCACTCTGCGCCTCCTCTCCTCGCGACGGTGTCAGACCCAAGAAAATTCAGAGCCAAAAAATAGAATTCTCCCCTCTCTCTCAATCTGTTGGGCGCCGCAAGACTCGGAAAAAACTAGGGTTCTAAGCTACTAAGACAATAATTTGGTTCTTGTTGCCCTTCTCATTAGTCTCGCTGGGTTATATACTCCCGAGCGGATCCAAAGCATCAGTTTTAACCTCATTATAGCTTAGATTCAGCATCCAGGTAAAAGTAAACGAGCATCAGCTCTTAAACAAAAATTACATGACAGTGAATAAGAGAACAGCGAATCGCCACCGTCGAATCCCGCTGTAAATACGAATCTTCGCATCTCCACCGTTCATTCTCATTAAATGACGTCAGCCAAACGGTATCACCATTCTTCAGACTTTCTTCAGTTATCTCTGAACTTTTCTTCAGTTATCTCTGAAATCTCCACTTCTGACAATCCTTTCCCCTTAAGCCAGACCTTGTCCTCAAGGTCTAAAGTGTGGAAAAGTGGCCTGGATGAATGTTGCATCTTCCCAAGTTGCATCCTCAGGTGTTAAATTCTCCCAGTGAATTAACCATTGAACCACTGGTTCATTTTGTCTTGGAATTACTCTCCTTGCTAATACTGCAAGTGGTTCAGTCTTGACAGTACCATCAGCACCCACCAGTGGAAGATTTGGTAGCGGAATTGCCTACCTTCCCACATGTTTCTTCAGCTGACTAACGTGAAACACAGGGTGTATGTTAGCTTCTTCTGGCAACTGCAACTTATAAGCAACCTTCCCAATCTTTTCCAACACTCTGAAGGGACCATAAAACTTTGCTCTGAGTTTCAATGATCCTCTCAGCCCAAAAGCATTATGTCGATATGGTTGCATCTTTAGGTAGACCATATCCCCTAACTCGAATTGTCTTTCACTCCTGAGTCTGTCAGCAAACTTTTTGATTCTGGTTTGAGCTTTGGCCAAGTTTTCTTTTAATCTTGCCAACATATCCTCCCTCTGTTGTACAGTTACTCTTGCCTCTTCTGAAACATTTCCAGGTATCGCCCTTTCCCCAATCTGTGGTGGAGTTACTCCATACATGGCCTCATATGGAGTGACTTGCAATGATGTGTGATAAGAAGTATTATACCACCATTCTGCAGTAGGCAACCATTTGTACCATTCTTTAGGCTCCTGAAACACCATACAGCGAAGATAAGCTTCTACACATTGATTTACCCTCTCGGTTTGGCCGTCAGACTGAGGATGATAGGAAGTACTAAACCGCAATGCAGTACCCATTGCTTTAAAAACATTCTGGAATAGTTCGCTGGTAAAAATCCTGTCTCGGTCTGACACAATAGCCACTGGCATGCCATGAAGTCTGTATACATTTTCCATGAAAACTTGTATCACATTTGAATGTCAAAAGGATGAGACATGGCAACAAAATGAGCATACTTTGTTAACCTGTCCACTACTACCAGAATAACATCTTTTCCATGAGATTTTGGCAACCCTTCTATAAAATCCATTGAAATGTGTGGCCATGCCATCTCAGGAATTTGAAAGGGTCCAGCAATCCAGGTACATGAATATGTCAGGTTTAGCTATTTGACAGGTTGGGCATTCAGTCATCTGTCTATCCACATCCTTCTTCATTTTAGGCCAATAAAAAATCTTCTTAAGTTTATGGTATGTCACCTTCATTCCGGAATGCCCTCCAAAGGTGGAATTGTGAAAGGATTGAAGCAGCCTTTGTCTGATATCAGTTGATTGTCCCACATAAATTCTGTTTTTATACCTCAGTAACCCAGATTGTAAAGTGAACCCCTCTGCTCCTTCATTCAGTTCCTCTCCAGTTACTAACATTGCATATTTCTCATCCCCCATGTAGCTGTTCTTCACATCCTCCACCCAAGCTGGATATACCAGAGTGATTGCCAAGCACTTGTCTCCATCAGTATCCCTCCTAGACAATGCATCAGCTGCCTTGTTTTCTTTTCCCTTCTTGTACTCAATACTGTAATCGAACTCCATTAATTTCATCAATAGTTTGTGCTGAATACCTTCTGTTAATCTCTGGGTTGCCATGAACTTCAAACTTTGCTGATCAGTTCTGATGACCACCTGATTTCCAAGCAAATAGTGCCTCTATTTCTTCAAAGCTTCTAAGATAGCAATAGCCTCCTTTTCATATGTTGAAGAGCTAGCTGCCTTCTTCCCCAGAGATTTGCTGAAATAAGCAATGGGTCTCCCTTCTTGCATCACTACAGCCCCAATTCCAGTACCACATGCATCTGTCTCTAGGACAAAAGGTTGATTGAAATTGGGTAAAGCCAAAACTGGACAGGAAGTCATAACTTCTTTAAGATTGTCAAAAGCTTTTTGCTGTTCTACACCCCATTGGTAGCTGTTTTTCTTCAACAGATCATGAAGTGGTCTGCATATGGTTCCATACCCCTTCACAAATCTCCTATAGTATCCAGTTAATCCCAAGAATCCTCTTAATTTTGAGACATTTTTGGGTACTGGCCAATCCAGCACATCCTGAATTTTATTAGGCTTAGTTGCAACACCTTCTCCGGACACTATATGCCCCAGATATTCTATACTTCCTACAGCAAAAGTGCATTTGCTTCGCTTGGCGAACAATTTATGTGACCTCAGTATGTTTAGCACTATGCGCAAGTGCTGTTCATGTTCCCTCAGATCTCTGCTATAAATCAGTATGTCGTCAAAGAAGACCAAAACACACTTCCTCAAAAGTTTGCCAAAAATTTGATTCATGAGAGCTTGAAATGTAGCTGGTGCGTTTGTCAACCCGAATGGCATCACCAAATATTCAAAATGCCCCATATGAGTTTTGAATGCTGTCTTAGGGATATCACCTTCCACCATTCTGATTTGATGGTAACCCGACCGTAGATCCATCTTTGTCAACACCTTGGCACCATTCAATTCATCTAACAAATCTTCTATAATAGGCATAGGGAACTTGTTCTTGACGGTTTTGGCATTCAATTGCCGATAATCCACACACATCCTCCAATTCCCATCCTTCTTCCTCACCATGACAGCTGGAGATGAATATGGACTGAGACTAGGTCTAATTTCTTTAGAATCCAGCAATTCCTTAATAATTTCTTCCATAGCATTTTTCTGTTGATGTGGGACTCTGTAGGGTCTCAAGCTTGGAGGTTCTGCTCCCACCTTCAGTGGTATTGCATGGTCACAATCCCTCTTTGGAGGTAAACCCTTAGGATCAGCAAATACATCAGCAAACTCTTGAAGCAAAACTGCTATCTGTTCTGGTATAATGGTTTCTTCCTTCTTCTCTTCTGTTTTAGACAACACTTCTATGAAGAAACCCATTATCCCCTTATCAAGCATCTTCCCAAATTTTCCAGCCTTAATCATTATCTTCCCCTGTGGAAGAGTATGATCTACAAATTTAACTTGCTGGCCCTTACATGTTACCCAAAGAACTCTCTGTTTTAGGTCCAGACTGATTGGACTATGGTCATAAATCCAATCCGCCCCTAAAATCACATCAAATCCTTTCAAGGGAATTAATTGGAACACTCTTTCAAATGGATGACCTTGTACAGTATATGACAGCTGCTCAGTTTTTGTGGAAGAGGAGATCATACCCCCACCAGCTACCAGTATTCTTCTATTGCCAGCTTCCAAAATTTCACACCCACTTTTTATAGCAAAATCATAGTTCATGAAAGAATTTGTACTCCCACTGTCAACCAATGCTACAGCCCTCCTTCCTTTAACATGGGCAATGAGAGAGAAAGTATTACTTCCACACATCCCCTATGCTGCTTGTGTAGATATTTGCATCAACTGTCCCTCCTCTTCTTCCTTCTTAGCTGGACTACTAGGAGCTGTCTGGTATCCAGTCTCTCCATTCTCCTCCTGAGTTTCTTGGGGTTCCTCTTCTTCTTCAACCTCCTCCATCATATGTACCACCTTGCCAACTTTACATTTATGTTGGTAATTCCATGGTTCCTTGCAATACCAGCAAGTTTTCTTTTCTTTCTCCACCCCTTGAGTTGTGTTTTTCTGGTTGACAAATCTGGTACCACTGGACTGGGCAGGCTGGAATTGAGGTTTGTTTCTATTAAATCCAGATTGGTAGCTTAGTCTCTTAGCAATACTTGCCTTCTCATACACCTTAGCATACCAATATCCTGCCAACAAGTTCTAGGGCTTTTGCCCACATACATCATGCTTAATGTCAGCCCTCAATCCCTCAATAAAACAACTCAAAATGTAAGACTCCGTCAAGTAAGGATGATCCCTTTTCACTAAAGAAACACAGTCTTCGAATTTGTCAATGTACTGCATTACACTACCAGTCTGTTTTGCATTCTGCAGTAGTTCCACAGCTTCATGGGCATTAGCTTCAGTAAAACGATCTAAAACCATTAGATAAAATTGTTGCCAATTTAGACAGTACCAGGGTATGGCCAAATTTCTAAACCATTTCCCTGCTCTTCCCACTAAGTGTCCAGATGCTAAATTAACCCACTGATCCACAGGGGTGCCAGTCATCTCAAAAAACTTTTCACATTATTGCAACCACCCTACAACATCCTCCCCATTGAACAATGTCAATTCCAACCTCTAACTCCTCAATGACATTTTAGTATAAGGGTTTGGTATGACACCATGCAAATATCTAGGTGGTTCCTGCCTGTACATACCTCCTCCCGGGTTTGGCATCCCTGCTCCTATGCCTACAGCAGTACCCCCTGGTTGCCTAGTTGGATATCTCCAAGGCTGATTAGTGTCAATCCCATAATGGTTCATCCCCACATCCTCTTGTGACTCTCTCTCAGGAAAATTGAAATTTCTTCCCTCTGGTAACACATGAGTTCTAGTAGCAGTGGTGAAAACTGGGCCAAAAGATGGGTTCACAGTGTTTGGTTCAATTTGGAAGTTCACATTTCCTACAGAAGTCATGGCACCCTGTGTGTTTCTGGGCAGAAAGGATGGGATTGTCACAGTTGAGGTCATGCTTCCAGCATTAACAGGATTTAGCTGAGCTCCCGAAGTCAGTGGCATCGCACCAGCCCCGGTCTGAACTCCAGCGGTGTTAGGTTGGGGACTAAAACCCGGTGGTACTGAAGAACTTCCAGCCACTGTTGTAGTATTGCTCACCGTTGCTGCTGCTGAAGCTGCCAACCCTGCTGCCCCCCTTGCAATGCCACTGGTACTAGCTCCAGCCGTTCCCCCAAATTCAGGTCCTTGACTCGACATACTCGCACAGATACTGCTCAGAAGTCCTTTAATTTCACCCATTTCCGACCGCATCACTCACAGATCCGCCATCTCATGCCTAATCTGTGTGATTTCAGCACGAACATCAAACTCCCCAGCGCTGTCCAAACTGTCGTGGGATCTGGTTCATGTAGGCATCATCGATTGACTGACGAAATCAGCTCAAGGAATTCACAGATCCCTCTCCCCTTAAGATCTCGCCGTCTAGGTCTACCACCAACCTGAGTAGGAATCCCGAGCTCTGGAGATTTTACAGAGAACACACCTGCATGGTTCTCCAACCCTCGCTCAAAAGACCTTCTCCTCGCTTCTCCTCGCCTCCGGTTCGATCCGCCCAAGTTCCAGGGATTTTACGGTGAGAAATCCGGAGATCCTCCCAACCTTCACTTGGTGAATTCGAGAGCCAAGAATCGGGCTTTGCTCTGATACCCTTGTCAGACCCAAGAAAATTCAGAGCCAAAAAATGGAATTCTCCCCTCTCTCTCACAATCTGTTGGGCGCCGCAAGACTCGGAAAAAATTAGGGTTCTAAGCTACTAAGACAATAATTTGGTTCTTGTTGCCCTTCTCATTAGTCTCGCTGGGTTATATACTCCCGAGCGGATCCAAAGCATCAGTTTTAACCTCATTACAGCTTAGATTCAGCATCCAGGTAAAAGTAAACGAGCATCAGCTCTTAAACAAAAATTACATGACAGTGAATAAGAGAACAATGAATCGCCACCGTCGAATCCCGCTGTAAATACAAATCTTCGCATCTCCACCGTTCATTCTCATTAAATGACGTCAGCCAAACGGTATCACCATTCTTCAGACTTTCTTCAGTTATCTCTGAACTTCTGAACTTTTCTTCAGATATCTCTGAAATCTCCACTTCTGACAAGACGGTCCACCGCGGACCGCGACGATGCACCACCGCACCGCCCGACCAGCGCCGAGGCACTACCGCACTTGCTTGCCCACGGCCAGGCGCGGGTCCAGCCGCCTCCGACCGCCACCACAGCGCCTCCACTGCCTGCAGGGACGCCACCGCTACCCGCCCGGCTACCTCCGTTGCCGCCGCCAACACGCGAGTCTCCTCCTCCCTGATCGAGATCGAGTCGACACACATACACCACCAACCACCGGCCGGCCGCCGCGCGCCGGTGAGCAGGATGGGGAGGCCGCCGTGCTGCGACAAGGTTGGGGTGAAGAGAGGGGCCATGGACGCCGGAGGAGGACCTGATGCTGGTCTCCTACATCCAGGAGCACGGCGCCGGCAACTGGCGCGCCGTGCCGACCAACACCGGTACGTGTTCTTGTGTGTTCTTGATCGATCGATCGGCGTTGGGTTGCGAGATCTGAGATTTTTGCATGTTTGATCCTGCGTGTGTGCAGGGCTGATGCGTTGCAGCAAGAGCTGCCGGCTCCGGTGGACGAACTACCTCCGGCCGGGGATCAAGCGGGGGAACTTCACCGAGCAGGAGGAGAAGCTCATCGTCCACCTCCAGGCTCTCCTCGGCAACCGGTGATTTTTCTTTTCTTGGTTTTATGGTTGCTTTGATTGCTTTGTCCATGGCGTCCATGCCTGAGTGGGTTGCTGGCTGGCTCTGGCTGTGTGTGTAGATGGGCGTCCATGGCATAAGAGGATTCTGAACTGATGCATAAGAGTGTCTTGCATTTGCAGTTCTCTACCATAATCGTGGTCCACAACATAGCCATGCTTTCTGAATACTTTCAATGGATAATCAACGAAGCTCTACACTACAAATTTCTGCAATGACAGGTACTATTATTTTTTGTCTGAATTTTGCTTTGCTTGCTACCTTTATTTTACCTGCAGACAATTTATATTTGGCCTGTGATAATACTCTATTGTAGTGTATGTACTAAAAGGTGTTTTTATTCTATTTAATTAGGAGGGATCATATGGAGGTTAGTTTATCAACATTCTAAAGTATCAATATTGATGCTCATGATTTTGTTAACTATTGTTTATCACTGATTCTCTTTCATGCCCAATAGGTGATTTCACCAATGAAAGATGGAACATTTATTGATTGGGATATTGTTGACAATATATGGAATCATGCTTTCAGGTGAGTTGCTTTATCTATTTGATGCAGATCTGAGTAATTTTGTGCCAAAAGTGCACGCCCAAAATGCTGGCCACACTTGTGGCAAAACTTGTCTGAAAAATAAATCTATGACATGAGAGGCACTAGAGTAACAAGGTTTGGCACACTGCTTATGTGGTTCACCAAACACTTGCTCGTTGCCGTAAAAGGCCGAACGTGCCTAACTTGTTTCTGGGGAAGTTTGGGATGAACCAAACTCTATCTTTAACATAGTTTCTTTAGAATCAGCAACAAAGTTAATCTTCTATGCCTCTATGGAATCTTTTGGATGTCAGCATGGTTACTGCTTTATGCCCACCATCTTTTCACCTTACATATTTATTTATGCTTTTCAAGTATAATGATAGTGAAATCCCTTCTTATGTGTACAACCGGATAAAGTTGATTAAATACTTGGATTTCCTTTGTATGGCATGGAGATGCAACTACTGAAGTTTTTTGCTTTGTTAGCTTTTATCTTCACACTTGCTCTTCGTTTCAGGCAGCGGCTATTGATCAATCCTGAGGAGCATCCTATGTTGATAGTTGAACCATCTACAAACACAGGGCAGCAAAGAGAGAAGTATGTCCATATATATTCTGTATTTAAATTAATTGTGTTGCTTACTTGTATAGAAAAACATCGCGTATAAGAACTAGCTGATTTATAGCACAATTTTCTTCTATGGCTCTTATCAGTTATGACTGAACTGTATTGGTACCAGGATTTACTGCATGATCAGACATCCTAGGTAGTATATTGTAGATAAAATTCAATTACATGGGAAATTTTCAGGCTGTAGTTGCTCTGTTTGTTGCTAACGAATAATTCAGTCCTATATTCGTCTTCTAGGGTTTTACATTCTTCCTCTCGGGTCCTATATTCATTTTCTGGGCTCCTGTATTTGTTCTCCGAGTCTTTCTCTCGATTCCTATATTCGTCCTCTAGGGTCCTATATCTAAATTTAACAATTCTCAAATCCTTTTTATCATTTTTGTATCGTGGGTTGTCAAAATAAGCAACTATAGTATTTCTACGTAAAACACCCATAAAGGGTATTTCAATCGAAATCCCAAAAACAGGATATTGGTTCTTTCGCTTGCTCTTGATGATACTGTTTCTTCGCATTTTGGCTAACAAATCTGAATTATTTTGAAGAATAGAAGGATAGACAAAATTCAAATGACCATTGGACATGATTCGATCCGGCGTTGAATAATCAAGAATTTCCCTATCTTTTTTAACAAAAGTATCCATTCAGTCGTTCTTTTTATCATGCCATTTTTGTTATTTATCAGTTTTTTTGGAACAAAAACATGGTATTTTCTTAGTTGATGCTTTATGCAGGTATCTACTGACTTTAAAGATCATGAAGGCATAATGCATATATCAGGGCTTTGACATGGTCTTCGTGCAAGAATAAAATGCCATTTTGTGTTTGTCAACAAGTGTTATTTATTTTTTAATCAACAATTGTTTGTCTTACTTCAGGTTCACTGATCTAATGTTTTAGTCTTGCACCTATCACTTGCTAATAATGTTGTAACCTTGCCTTGCACCTATCACTTGCTAATAATGTTGTAACCTTGCTCCTGTCACTTGATAGTATTTCAAATAATTTCCAATATTATTTGTGCAGATTATATAAGGTCGCTTTAAGATTACCTTGTTCAGATTCTTCGGCCGGCCCTATTCTTTACATTATGCATTGGACTATTGAGCCTGGTTGTTTTTGGAGGACCAGGGAGCATGGCTGGAGTATCATCTGGAGGATAACCTGATGTGGATTATTCACTTGGCTTTGTCTTGACAAATAATATATGAGTTATTGCTTGTAAGAGAGGTCAAGAGAGGTCTTATTTTCTGATCTTATCCTAGATTGTATTAAGGACAATTCATGTGGATTAAGGAGAATTCAGAAACAAAATTTGGAACATTTGCTATACTATTTTCTGATCTTATCCTGGGTTGTACCTGAACTTAATATTCTCGGTTGTACCGGTTCATTTCTGAGTTCATTCCCTGAACTTGTTGACTAATTTCAATTTGTGATGTGCCTCAATTTTATATATATATATATATATATATCTACCAAAGTTTGGTTTGTTTATGTTATTGGTGCACTGAGATAATTTTAAATTTTTTTGCTGTTAGTTGGTAAATTATGCAGTTATGACATTTTATTATACTAACTAATTTTTATGTGTAGTTTACATTTTATACTTATTTTTTTATACGTGCCTTGCACGTGCACGATTCCTAGTGTATATTAATATATCTGTATAGAACTAATTATTTGATTGGTGAGATAAGAAACACACCTAGGGGTTTTCCGGTTAGCTCTACGAGATGGTGGGCTAGCCGACTTGGGTTTGAAACCTCACTCCTTCTATTTATTTCGTATTAGGCCCTTCACTAATATTCGTGTTTTTTTAATTAGCGAGATGTCATCGACACAATAGCTAATCTATTACTGTAAGTTGGCTCTAGCACTAGCTGCAAAGATAGATGCAGAACATGCTCTTAGATGTGGAATCTACCTCGATCTTGCTCAAGACTTGATCGGAGGCCTTATTCTATTGCCATGAATAACTCCCCCCTCCTTCCCTAATATAATTTTAACTAGAAAACATATTAAACAAGAGATCAGAACAATACTATGCACTTCACTAATACAGATAGAAGATAACAAGAGGATTAAATTAAGAGGATGTGAGATTACTATTGGTTCGATGGTTAAAAATAACATGAAAAAGATGAAGTTGTCTTAAAGAGTTCTACTATATACTACTAACGTGTAAAAGATCTGTCAGGCTGTCGCGCCTTAAAAAATGCCCTCTTACCGAGGATGATTTAGCACTAATCTCTAACCAAAGATAAAGTTTACTACCCAGAAATTACGGAGGATAGGGAAGGTGATCTAGCTACACATGTCTCAAGCCTCTCTCGCAATCCCACTGCCACCATTGTCGGACAGGCCTATTGGGCCTGTTCGGAAGAGCTAGCTGCTGCAGCGCTGCGGCTGCACTGCAGCAGCATCTACAGCGTCTAACGCAGCTAGCTAGCAACAGCGGCTACAATGGACAGCCGAATAACTGGACTGTGGACTGTCCAGTGCAGCCATAACAGCTGCAAAAACAAACTACCGAACAGGCCCATTGGTGGCGGCGGCCACACCTACCCTCGGGAATGAAAATGGCTTGAAAAGGGACAAAAATATCCACTTATATCATATTCGTTTATATTTTTTTAATCGGAATCAGAAACCCCATATAAGAAAATAGAATTTGTCAAATACGAAAGTGGAACGAATATGATAATGAATATTTATCGTAAGTATAAAAATCCCTCAAACCAAGCTTCATATAAATCAATGAAGAGATATAACTTTCTCTAATGTTTTCTAGTAGAACATATCAACATTTACAAATTCTAGCTTTTAATATATAATACCCATGCCCATAACTGAATACATTAGATCAGCATGCGTTTCATGCCCATAACATAACTGAAGAAATCATCAGTTGAAAATCCATTTCTCTTCACAAATCAACAAAGAGATAAAATTTGTAGTATTTTCAAATAGAACATATCAACATTTCTAAATTTTACTAGCTTTTAATAAAACCATTGCCCATAACTGAATACAGTAGATCACCGGTGCCCATACCATAACTGAACAGATCAACATTTGGAAATCCATTTCTCGCAAATTCACATCACATATAACAGATCAAAGTGGGTCACCATGCCCATAACTGAACAGATCACACTAAGGCTGTGTTCGGCACAGCACTCTCCCAACGCGCTACAGTGTTTTGGCCCCGCGCACGCTTTTCAACTACTAAACGGTGTACTTTTTTGCAAAAAGTTTCTATACAAAAGTTGCTTAAAAAATCAAATTAATCCATTTTTGAAAAAAAAATTAGCTAATACTTAATTAATCACGTGTTAATGAACCATTCCGTTTTCCGTGTTACTGTAGCGCGCTGGGAAAACGTCCAAACGAACACAGCCTAATTACACATGCAGTCACATCCTCCCAAACTCAATCACGTGTTTACAAATCACAATAAGATACGAGTGGATCGACTTGTGAACGCACTTATAAACTAAATAAATGGGTTAATCCACATATTGACACTACTATAGAATCGATTTTTGTAGACGAGCCCCCCTCCAACCTGCAAGTGGACCGTAACGTTGTCCGTCTACGATAATATCGATCCCAAAGAAAAACAAGACCCATATAAAAAACAATTTTCACAAATGGGCCTCATGCGAAAATAACCTTATTTTCACATTTGGGCTTGTTAAGTGACCCGCTTGCCGCCAGCCCACCAAGCCGTATGTACACTCTCCTCTTCCTTAAAAAAAATCAAAATCCTATCCTCTCCCCCCCCCTCTCTCTCTCTCCTCTCCTCTCCTTTCATCCCTCATCCTCTCCTCGCCTCACCCTACTCCACCTCCCCTCTACTTCCGACCGGGCACTCCGGAAGGCGATGGACACGTTGGGCCATGACGATTGCGGTGCTGACGGGCTCTCTCGCAGGAGTGGCAGTGTGCATCGACGATGGGAAGGGATGACGACAAGTGCAATTGCAACGATGGGGAGAGCTCGCCGAATCCGCCAGCGGCAGCGACAGTTAGGGTGGATCCAATGGGCTCTCCCTCTCTTGCGTGCTTCCCGCCGCCTCCTCCCCCCCCCCCCCCCCCCCGTGCGCGCATGGATCAGGCGGGCTGGGTTCTCCCCCTTTGTGTGGATCCCGCCGCCTCTCCTCTTCCCTCACACATGGTAGGGAGGGAACGACAACCGAGGTGGCATGGAGAGCCCACCAAATCTGCAGATGACACCAGTGGGAGGGTGGATCTGGCAGGCTCTCCCCCTCTTGTGTGGATCATGTCGCCTCTCCTCCCCTGCACATGGATTCAGTGGGCCGGGCCCTCCCCCTCCACGTGGATCCTGCCACCTCTTCCGCCCCTTCATCGCGCATGGATCCGGCGTTGCGCATCGACGGCGAGGAGGAGAAACAATGACTACGGCAACGGTGGCCGGGAGAGCTTGCTGGATTTTCTGGCGGCAGCGACAGGAGGGGCGATGGGAGACATGGAGACCGGGAATGGCATCGGCGGTGGCAATGATGATGATCGTTGTCACACCCTGAAGTTCTCCTCCCAAGCCTAAAATTTAATTTATAAATGACCCTAAGAAAATGCCGGTGCAAATCAAGAGAAAACCCTAAGAAAGTAATACAAATAATAATCGAATCTGGCATGTGGAATTTTTCTTGAGTTCTACATGTCGAAATTCACTAACAGGATTTTTAGTGGAATTTTCAGAGCCCTAGAATTTTAACCAATTAAAATTGAGCAAGCAATATTTTAATTCCAGGGAAAATCCTTTTCTTCCTTTTTCTTTTTCTTTTTCCCCCTTTTCTTTTCGAGTGGGCCGCCGGCCCATTCTCCTTCCTCCTCTCCCCTCCGCTGGGCCGGCCGAATGCCAAGGCCCAGCTAGGCCGGCCGCCTCCCTCCTCCCACCCGGGACGCCAACAGGTGGGCCCCCACCTGTCGGGCCCGTCTCCTACCTCGCGCCCGCGCCGCTGCGCCCGCAACCGCCGCCGCGCCCACGCCTCCGCCTCCTCCGGGCCACGTCGGTCACGCCCGCGCATGCGCCGCACCTCCCGCGCCCACTCCCCTCTCTCTCCCGCCCGCGCCCGCGCCCGAGATGGCCGGGATTCGATTTTCGAATCCAGCCTCTCTCTCTCCTCTCCCACTCCCCCACGTTGGCCGGCGGAATCTCGCCCCTACCGGCCACGTCCGAGACTCCCCTCCCCTATTTAAGCTCCGCCGTCGCCCCCTCTCTCTTTTTCCCCATTTCGCCGAACTCCCTCGTGCTCCCCATCGCTCCCGCGCCGTGCACCCACCCGCCGCCGCCTTTCCCGCCACTCCGGCCGCCGCTAGCCGCCGCTAGGCTCGCCGCCGCACCGCGCCGTCGCCGCCGTCGGGTTCGCAAGGACGAACTCCACCCCGTCCGCCCTTCCTCTGTTGGGATTCGTCGCCGGAATTCGCATCCCCTCGCGCTCCGGTGAGTTCTACCTCTACCGCCGCCTTCGGCCATGGATGCCGGCCATCGTGGTTCATCTCCCTCTCTCTAATCTCTCTCTCCTCCTTCCTTAGGGCACCCCGAAGCCCGTCCGCCGGCTGCCGTCATCCTCCCGTGGCTTGCCGTCGCTGTTCGCCGTCGTCTTCCACCGCGCCGGCCACCCTCGGTGAGGCGTCCTCTCCCCTCTACTCCCCGCCCTCTCCTTCCTAGCCGCCGCTTAGCGCCACCGCCTTCACGTCGCCTTTGCGGCCGCCGCCTTCGCCGCCGGTTGCGTCGCCGGCAACGCGTGCGCGCGCGCCGTCGCCATCGCCGTGGCCGGTCGGCCGGCCTTGAGCCGAGCCGAGCCGGGTCGCCGCCGCCCGTCCGATCAGCCCCGGGAGCGATCTGGGCCGTCGGTCCCATGGACCGGCGGTGGACCACCCGCGTGGTCCCGGTCCACGGTGGACCGCCCCCCTTGAGCCGCTGCCGAGTGGGGCCCACGTGCCGGCGCCCCTTTTCCCTCTCTCCCGAGCCGCTGACCGGTGGGCCCCGCATGTCGGCGCCGCGCCCCCCTTGATGACGTCAGCCCTGGGAATTATTGCGCAATAAATATTTAAGGACTTTTTGTTATAGTAATAAACACAGTGAATCTTCTAAAATTCATAACTAATTCATCCGAGCTCCGTTTAAGCCCATTCAAGTCTCAGTAAATCAAGAAAAATGCGTAGAATCCATTAAAAATGGTTTTGTTCTCTGTTTCAGTAGTCTTATAGCCTGTTTGTATTTTTTGCTTTGTATGTCGCCTAGATTCCGGTTCTTCCGACGCTCCGGTGTACTTCGAGATAGTCACCGAGGTTCCTCCAGCTGCAGAGCAAGGCAAGTCATGCCTGTCACTTGAACATGTTGATCCTATATTGCAAATGCTCTATTGTTTTTCTTCAAATACTGCATCGTTTTATAATGTTACTATGGGATGTTTACCTATTGTTACAGCCATGCTATTTTGGTACCCTGCTCCTTTGTTAGCTCGGGTTATAACATGAATAGACGTTGGACTAGGAGTTGCTTAGCCATGCTTAGTTCAACTAGCACACAATGGGGAAATCTCATTTAAAATATAGACTGTAGGTTCATATGATAATGTTGGTTTAGTACCACCGCTTTGGTGTTGGTTAATTAAAATGAATCACATGGTGGGCTGTGGGTGCATGGTTTTGCTTGTCGCACCCATAGCAATTAAGGACCGGTTCGCGGGAAACCCTGGAAGAATTTATCATGCTTACCACAAGTCAGCATGGGCAACGGCTGGGCTTGTAGTGTAGCTTTTCTCTAGCTGACGCATCCAGGCAAGGGTGGGCGTGATGGAGTTTGGATGGGCCCTGCGACGGCCTATGCGGCTTCCGGATTCACCTAGGCACGAGAGGGGACTGCCCGTCGCCCGCTGGGGACGGGGGTGAAACCTGAGGTGTGGTGTGCTTGGCTAGAAGGGGTTATGCAAAGGGTCCTGTCACGGCCTCTTTCCGGTATGTCATGGTGGCATGTCGGCGCACGAAAACGTGTCATGGGGCTGTGTCTTGGGTGTACAGTTGTACACCTCTGATCAGAGTAAAACTATTCGAATAGCCGTGCCCGCGATTATGGGCGGTCAACCAGATTCACCGTGATTAGTCTCACCCTAGTTTAGTCTAATGAAATTGGATAGTATAGGTGGAGGGTTGGGCCTGTTGCAACGTGGGATAGCGTTGGACAGCGGATGATCAATATTAATTAATTATTGCAACTGTTTAATTCTTTCAACTTCTGTTTATAAATGCTCGCTTTATGCAAATGAACCACTCTAGCTCTCCTTTGATAATTCCCTGCATCATACCCCTATTCCGGTATGACTTGCTGAGTACAGTGGGTAGTACTATGTCTTGCTCTATTTTTCCCCAACCCCAGAGTGCGAGTATGTGTCCGATGGCGGGTTCTCCGAGGAGTAGACTTCGTCCGTGCCGTCGAGGGTGCCTGTGGAGTGGTGTTCCCGCTGCAGTTCAAGTCCAGGCTTAGCCCCAGTTATCTTTTGTTTTTCCGCTGCATTTATGTAAGACTTTTATGATGTTTGTAAGACGTGGATCTGAATGTCAACATTGTCGTTTGTGTACCCCGGCCGGTCCTGGACGGGGATTTTAATGCACATTCTGCTTGGAATTCTATTCGGGAATTTCTGGGCGTGACAGTCGTCGGATAGGGAGCATGACAACAATGAATCCTGACAGAGGCGGATCTAGAAAATTGGTCCGTTGGTGTCACAACGTGTCTATCGGTGTCATAGTATGCTAATTATGCTTAGAGCATAATGTTATAGTATATGAATAAGCTGTTTTGTTATAGGTTTTGTCGAAAGTCGTCGGTGTCGGCTGACACCGACGATTATACTGTAGATCCGCCCCTGAACCCTGAGCATGGGAGCAGCAGTGGGATCTACCTAGGGTTTTGGAATTTTATTTGTGCTTTTTGCTGATTAATTTCTTTCCTAAAGCATACGGCATAATTCTCGCGTGAAAATCCCTTTTTGTGCACGGTTGTGCTGTTCATCTGCGAAAGTTTCTATTTTTATTGACATCTAGGGGTAATCGGTTGCTTTCTCCGTTTGCAAAAATACATTTTAGTCGCTTTGAAAAATCGACTCTGTGCTAGTGTGACCACCTTGACTAACCTGAACCTCTTAATTACTTATAAAACTGTAGTGATTTGTAAGCAATTCCGTTTGAACAAATACATCGTACTATTTTAAACAGGTATGTCACACGCATAGGGATGAAAACGGTCGAAAAAATCTTATACTATTTTTTATTTCCAACACCGGAACAAATCTTATGATCGGTGCAAACCGGAAAAAAAACGTTAGAAATTTCCGAACTGTTTTCACCCCTAAGCACGCATACCACGCGCGGTTCCATGTCCCCACGTGTTGACGGCGAACCGGCATTTCCACGTAGTCACTGCAGGCGGGACCCCTCTTTACGAATTACGATCAATGATCTGTGCACAGGAAGCCCAACAACCTCCCGGATCACGATCTCTCACTGACAATGGGGTCCAGGATGAAGTGTGACCCACATATACTAGTACACATGGCCACGTCAGCTCCATTCCCGTCGCGTCACTGCCTCTCGCGACTGCATTTAAATTCACCAAACCAGTGATGAGCCAGCGTGTGCCTCCAACCTCGCGGCACACGTGACACAGACGCTCGCCGCCGACACGGTGACGTCGCCATGGCTGCCGCCGCCGCCGCCGCCTCACTCTCCGTCTCCGACGCCGCCGCTAAGCTGCCCAAACCGGGAGGGCAAGTGCAACGGCGACGCGACAGGGATCGTCCACGCGTGGATGCTGCCGCCTGCACCCGCGACAGCCGCCGTCCCACGCGCGAGAGGTGCTCGACGACGGTGTCCCTCGCCGCGACCGCGACCGCGACAACGGCCACGCCCGTGCGCGCGCCGGTCCGGACGCGGGCGCCCATGGGGCAGCGGAAGGGCGCGGACATCGTCGTCGAGGCGCTGGAGCGGTGCGGCGTCCGCGACGTGTTCGAGTACCCGGGCGGCGCGTCAATGGAGATCCACCAGGCGCTGACGCGGTCGCCGGTGATCCGCAACCACCTGCTCCGCCACGAGCAGGGGGAGGCCTTCGCGGCGTCCGGGTACGCGCGCTCGTCGGGGCGGCCGGGCGTCTGCGTCGCCACCTCCGGCCCGGGCGCCACCAACCTCGTGTCCGCGCTCGCCGACGCCCACCTCGACTCCGTCCCGCTCGTCGCCATCACGGGGCAGGCCCCGCGCCGCATGATCGGCACCGACGCGTTCCAGGAGACGCCCATCGTCGAGTTCACCCGCTCCATCACCAAGCACAACTACCTAATCCTCGACGTCGACGACATCCCCCGCGTCATCAACGAGGCCTTCTTCCTCGCGTCCACGGGTCGCCCCGGCCCGGTGCTCGTCGACATCCCCAAGGACATCCAGCAGCAGATGGCCGTGCCGTCCTGGGACGCGCCGATGCGCCTCCCGGGGTACATCTCCCGGCTGCCGAAGCCGCCGGCCGCCAACCTGCTCGACGAAGTCATCCGCCTCGTCGGCGACGCCGAGAGGCCCGTCCTCTACGTCGGCGGCGGGTGCTCCGCGTCGGGCTACGAGCTGCGGCGCTTCGTGGAGCTGACGGGCATCCCGGTGACGACCACCCTCATGGGCATCGGGAACTTCCCCAGCGACGACCCGCTCTCGCTGCGGATGCTCGGGATGCATGGCACTGTGTACGCCAACTACGCCGTCGACAACGCCGACCTCCTCCTCGCGCTCGGCGTGCGCTTCGACGACCGCGTCACCGGCAAAGTCGAGGCGTTCGCGAGCAGGGCCAAGATCGTGCACGTCGACATCGACCCGTCGGAGCTCGGGAAGAACAAGCAGCCGCACGTCTCCATCTGCGCCGACGTCAAGCTCGCCCTGCAGGGCATGAACGCGATGCTGGAAGAACAGAGCGCCGCCGCCGCGCGCAAGAACCTCGATTTCAGCGCGTGGCGCTCGGAGCTGGAGAAGAAGAAGGTCGAGTTCCCACTGGGCTACAGAACGTTCGGCGAGGAGATCCCGCCGCAGTACGCCATCCAGGTGCTCGACGAGGTCACCAACGGGGAGGCCATCGTCGCCACGGGCGTCGGGCAGCACCAGATGTGGGCGACGCAGCACTACACCTACAGGAGGCCCAGGCAGTGGCTCTCGTCCGCCGGGCTGGGCGCCATGGGCTTCGGCCTGCCTGCCGCCGCCGGCGCCGCGGTGGCCAACCCGGGCGCCACCGTGGTCGACATCGACGGCGACGGCAGCCTCCTGATGAACATCCAGGAGCTCGCCATGGTCCGCGTCGAGGACCTGCCGGTGAAGGTGATGGTGCTGAACAACCAGCACCTGGGCATGGTGGTGCAGTGGGAGGACAGGTTCTACGACGCCAACAGGGCGCACACCTACCTCGGCAACCCGGCGGCGAACGGCGGCGGCGAGGTGTACCCGGACTTCGTGACGATCGCCGGAGGCTTCGGCATCCCGGCGGCCCGCGTGACGAGGAAGGGCGAGGTCCGCGCCGCCGTCGAGGAGATGATGGCGGCGCCGGGGCCGTACCTGCTGGACGTCGTCGTGCCTCACCAGGAGCACGTGCTGCCGATGATCCCCAGCAATGGCGCTTTCAAGGACATTATCGTCGACGGTGATGGCCGGAGTTCGTATTAGTTCTGAACTTCTAATATATGGGACTATCCGTACATTTATCGTCTAAAAATGTGTTATCTATAAATATAGTACCATAGTAATGTAATTACATTGTAACTATATATAATTGTTCTATAACTTTCGTTAGTTTTGAACCACTCCTTTTCTCAATGGACTAAGCAGTGTTGTGCTGATTGTGGCATCCAAGAGGCAAAGCTCAAATAAATTCATGTGGTGTATGATGTTGCCGTCGGAATGTTCTCTGCTCTCGTTGCTAAAAACTTAGAGTAAACATTTGAAATCTTTTCATATATCTACTAGTAATGTTCCCGTGCTAACGCTACGGTCTCACTTGAATGGCTTGCTACCAAAACCAGAAATTGATAAGCAGTAATATAGGTGATATAGCAGGAAAAGATACCATGTCAAAATGCATATAAATATTATTACAAATTTGGTCATTGACATAATACTACATTTCATCAGAGTTACTGGTGAAAAATAATGTCTCGCGGTTATAAAGACAAGGCAACAAAGATAATAAATGGATGAATTCGTATCATTGAAAATAAACCCTTGTTTTGCCGCCCAAGTCGTTGAAGATGGTAATTGATGGCTTTGTTGCATTATTTAACCTCCCTTTCTATGATCAAGTCCTAAGCAATCATCATAAATATGGAAGGCACGTGGATTAAAATCTGGGTAAACAATTCGAAAGGATTAAAAAAATGAAATGGCGATTAAGACCTGAGTCCTAGTAAAAAGCAACCAAGAGATTCGTCTGCTGGACATTCTGTAGAATATATCTTTCAACATTAAGCTAGCACCTATAAAAATGACAATACCAAAAAATGTAGTAGCAGACCACTTAGTTTGTTTCATGTAGAAGTAGTGATGTCATTAGACTAATATATAAGACACCTAATATATATACCTGTATTAAAAAGTGAACTCCAAATCAATTGTCTTGTGTTTGTGAGCTGAATCAAGAAGCTCATGGAATAGCAATAAGTGGAATAGTCACACGGGAAAAAAATAAGTGTGTGCTTATTGCTTACGTTACAGCAACATTTGATAGTGCCCTCATATATTTTTGCAAGCAAAAAATATATAACAACTATATAATCCTATCCACAAAATGTAATACTTAAATTACATACTTCATTTTTTACCATATTTCTTATGAAAAGCAAGTCCGTGAGGAAATCGTCTTTAAGAAATGTTGGTACATCTTAGGAAACAACGAAATACAAAAAAAAAGCAATTATCTTTAAGAAAAAAATAGAACATGTATATAGGTGCTAACATTCACCAATCAACATGTATAAATCCTAAATCATGTTGAGATCTCCAAGCTCAATACAGAAAGGAAAATATATAACATAAATGAAAAAGCAAAATTCTATTTCAGATTTAGCTACCTTTTGAGGTAGAGAACTACTGCTCTTGGTCTCTTTGGCTTCATTGACATACGGTGCAACAAACGCAAATAATGATCTTGCTTCATCATGAGACAATGGCTACAAAAATGAAAGACGGTGCAACATACGCAAACAAGTACTGATAATCCTGCATATAACATATTCGGGGTGCTACTTATGGTCAAAGCATTATTCAACTACTGGCAGCTTCAATAATCATTCATATGCTATGCCATCCAGACCAATCTGAATTATGTTTGCTAAAACCTGAACACAAGTGAATGAAACACAGAAGTGGCATTCACGGTTTTACACGCTAGACTGTAAAGACTAATAATCAGTAAGTAAAGAATCCACAGTTAATCTTCCCTGAACAGAACCAAGTGCATCTAAAATAGCAGATGCGCATTTATCTTCAAGGTAAGATCCTTCAGGTGTCAAAGTTAACCAAAATTCACAAGCAGCACTTAAGTAATATAGCTTGTGAATTTGTGGTTTTAATAGCCAGCTGTTCCAAATGTTTCAGTAACTAAAGATCCACAGTTAATCTTCCCTGGACAGAACCAAGTGCATCTAAAACAGCAGATGCACATTTATCTTCAAGCTAAGATCCTTCAGGTGTCAAAGTTTAACCAAAATCGACACCGCCAGTTCGAACATAAAATGAAAAGGTAGATTTTTGTAGATTACTGTAATGCAACAATTCACAAGTAAACATGCAACAATTCACAAGTAAACAAAGTTTAGTTTTTTTTTATCATGCAGTCAACATTTGCTACAGGTGGCTAAAAGCACCTGAAAATTAACAGCATGAAGAATTCAATTATTCTGCTAACAAGTAGCTCTGACCTGGGGCACTCCTGCCGGATCCAATGCACGACAACCAGGCATTAATCCTTTGCAAAACCCAACCAAGCAAGCATCAGGCAAGAATCTAGAAGCAGCCATTATCAAGAAGAACGGCAGAACAGTGAGGATTGGAAGCAACTCTTCCAGTGTTTGATTTAATTTCCACTGAATATCTATTTCAACTTGATTAGATAATCCCCCGTATCATACTTCCCATTCTCCAAATTGAGCACTACCAACAGGCCATCTCAATTTCCACCGAAACCCAAATGATGTAACAGTCAAACCATAGCCATAAACACTCAAATCACAACCGAGAAAGAATAGGCAATGCGGAGCTGAATTCTCATTGTCAAGGCGGAAGATGGTCAGGCGCTTCCAGCGGACGACAGTGAGGAGGCCCCGGCGGTCATCCCAGGCGAAGAGGTTGGCGCCATTGGTCTTCCCGATGACGACGACGGTCTCGAGCCCGGGGAGGCAATGGAGGTTGACATGGAGGCACGGAGTAGATGGGTGATGCGGGCGGCGGCGCCGGTCGGGGTAGATCGGCGATGCAGGCCACGATAGGGCGCGATGGAGAATCGGCGATGCTGGTTTCGGCGTCGGTCGGCGGCGGTTGGCGTGAGGGGCGAGGCGGCGTCGCGGGTGGCGAGGAGGCGTCGCGATGGCGGGGCGTCGGCGGCGTGAGGGTGCAGCGTCGGTGGCGTGAGGGTGCAGCGTTGGCAGAGCTGGGTGAGTGCGAGAGAGAGGAGGGCAGAGACGGGGTTCTCGGCGTGATTGGGTTACGCGCGTGAGGGAAGGGGAGAGGAGGAATGCAGGCAGGTGTGGGTGCCAAGCGCGTGCGGAAGGGAGAGGGTCCACGACGATCTCGAACCATTGGATTCGATCATTCTTGACCATCGGATTTGATGAATGAGGTTTGTAGGAGTGTAGTTGGTGAATTATAGGTTAGATATGACAGCAATCTATACAAGATCTGCTTCAAATGAGTTGATTTACTTTAAACTATCCACATTGCAGCCATCAGTTAGCATAGTCAGCCATCAGTTAGCGTTAGCCATCATAGTTGCCTATCTTTCCTACTCTTATGTTTCTTATTTCAGTTAGGGAAGACGATGATTAGTGTTAGCTGTTTTTTCTCCATCTTTTGTTCTTTCTGTACGTTCAAGGAAAACGGAACTCCCTTGTCCGGGAAAGCGTTTTGACGCACTCATCAGGTTGTTTTCACCGACAGAGCTCGTTGTCGTTGTTTATCTTTCTATCGGGACCACACCGTTGCCATCCACATTTATGTTGTTTTGGAATTTTTTCGTTGCCAACCTCCACCATATATATGGATGAGTCATATCGTGGGACACATCCTACCACCTTCCTCACCGCTGTTTTGGTCATCATAGCACTAGTGCCCATTTTTTCTCTCCCTATGTTTCTCACCTTCAGCTAGGGAGGATGATGCTAACTGTTAGGCACTATTCTTTCCTGGCCCATCTCAACCATGCTCCTGAACCGCTCAAAATACCGAGACCGTAGAAATATGAATAGAACATGAAAGAACTAATTTATGTCAATGAAACGGGTACCCGTTCAGAATTAATGGATCATATTTTCAACTATGGGCTAAAATAAGTTTTTTTATTTTCTAGCTAATTTCAGTTTTTTTCATTTACAATAATAGTTTTAGCACTATTTGGTCAGCTAAAAAATTTTAACTTATATTTTTTTCTCTGTGTTGAATTATTTATATCTAAATAAAAAATGAGGATTTAGTTATATAATTTCCATGATATTAAAATATCGTTCGAACAAGCCTATTTGTAGTTTTATGTTGTTTTTTATGTGATTATATTTTCTTCAGTTTTATGTTGTTATTTCTATAATTATATTTTCTTCATCATTTATACCTAAATGTGAAATATAATTTAAGATTTATTTTATGTGAATGAATGCTACTTCATCTATTTCAGGTTATAAAATTTTTTAATATTACTCACATTTATATAAATCCATTTATATAAATGCTAATAAGAATCTGTTACAAAAGCATTATGCTAGTCTATTCTCAAACTAGGAGGCCAAAGTTCGATCGATGGTAGCTCGTCCATGGTCGAACCCATCCATTCCAGAAGGTCGGACCTGTCAGAGCACCGTGGCACCCCGTGCGACGACGCGACTGTGGTCTGTGGGCCCCCACCCTCTCAAAACCCTCACGCCACTGACATCTGGGCCCCACCCCCTACTTTTCTCTCCCCCCTCGCTCTCCCATCCACGCGCGCGGAGTGGGACCCACCACCCAGGCGTTCGCCCTTATCGTTGCGCGAGCCCTTCTTCTTCCTCCTCTCTCTCTCTCTCTCTCTCTCTCTCTCGCCAACCAATCTCCTCCCCCCTCCTTTCCTCCTCCTCCCGAACCACCGGAATCCGACGCGGCGCCGCCGCGCCACCCCGTTCCGCCGGCTCTCTTCCTCACCTCTCCTCCCCAGGAGATCGTCAATCTCCTCGGTAAGCAAGCAAGCACTCGGGTGGTTCGAGCTGTGCCCTGCGATCGATCCCCTTGCGGAGTTGCGACGCGAATATGGTGTCTAAGTTTGATGTTACGTTAGGGTTTGGTTGGTTCGTTTGCGGCGGTGTTGGTGCCTCGTGTGTGATGTGTGTGTGTGTGTGCGGGGGTTAATTTGGTTCGTTCGTGGATGGGGGGGCTGATCTGGCATCGTGACGGTGTCGGTGTTAATTGTTAAACCTTTTTCATTTCTGTTCCTTAACTTTTGCCGTGATGGGGGTGATCTTGGAGCGCTGCGCTGGTGTAAATCGGGCTAGATTTTGGAGGAACGTCACAGTGAAATTCGTCAATAATCGTGTCGTTTTCCTGTCGAATTTTTGGCGCACGGTTTGATGCTGTTGGGGACCTAACCTAACCTCGTGTTCTTGATGCGATGCAGGTCAGGTGTTTGATCGATTGCCTGTGGGAAGCATAT